TTCAGCCGTTGTTGTGGTTGTTGTTGTAGTTATTGTTATTAAATTAATTACGCATTTTTAAGAAGTCAAATGTGTTTGGCACGCGGTTCGTTATCCGAACGCAGAACATTGTTTGTTTTTGCATTTAATTAAACGAGAAGTGCGAGCAGCAGCAGCAGCAGCATCAAAAAAATGTGCGTGAAAACAAAACATTTTAATTATTAATAAAAAGCAGCAAAAAATTGTCTTGTTGTTGTTCTTGCTGTCATGCTGAAAAGTCATGTTCTTTATTTTTTTGGATGGAATTATGTACGAAAATCCTGTGACATGTACATGTTTAGCATACAGATAAACAATATTCAAAATATCACGCATACGCCGAGGCTGACAATGCAAATGTCTTTACAACATGAACATGCTTTTATTGGGCTGCTTTATGAGTTTACTGTGGGTGGGTGGGACACATTTTATTTTCAGTATGCAAATTACATTTTCAGAACATGCTGTGAAAAGCGCGCATTTCAAAGGATTTGAACATAAAATAAATAACTTTTTTAATCTGATCGTAAGTCGAAATACGCAAATATGCAAATATACTTAAATAAATTAAAAACAAAATAAATTAAAGCTAAACTTAAAAGAGTTCCCAAAATAAAAGATAAATTTAGACCAATTATCACAAAATAAATAAATGATAAATTTGGCATTTATTGCGCTCCATAAACATGGGCAGGTTTTTTAGTCGGGCATATATCAAAGCAATTTATGAGCATGTACTGCATTCCGTTTATAAATCACAACTCTTCCTATCTAATGGCAATCGGGAAACTATGTTTTACGGGCCTGCTACGCGTCTCTATGTCATCTTTATCACTTCATTTGCCTGACAAGCCCAATCCCCACGTTCTCTTATCTAGCCGAGAAAAGAATTCTCCAACACTGGAGAAAGAAACAGCAGCAGCTGGTGGAACCAAAGAGTTGCCACAAGCCGCACCCCAACTGAAGTAGTTCAGTGCGGTTACGTTGGCGCCTTATCAGTGCCATCTTTATTGTGCCAAGGCGATGTAAGTGAATGTTCAGTACAAAAGCTGCGCAATTGAATAGACGAGGGCGAGGAGTTAGTATGCCACAGAACTATGCCATACTAAAAATCAGGCACGTCGCAGGACTCGAAATGTTCTTTGAAATAGGAGAGAGACGAAAATTATCTGCTCGGGATGCCAGCTATTAAATACCCTTACGAATACAAAAGAGATGTCTTAGCAAATGAATGATTATCATATCAATTTTATATGTAAGGAGCAGATATTGTATAGTAGTAGGGCCATGCTGATAATATTTTGTTCTACGATAAGCACATGTGGTGTCAAAACCGAAACACCCTCGGCAAGGGTATTTGTAATGCTAAAGAACGAGGCGTTCGCTTGTGGCAAGTGCCAAGTTAAGTTGACATACAAATTAACGGTTCAATAGAGAGCGGCATACACACCCACAAACACACACTCGTAAGTATCTCAAACGGGGTCTCTGTGGTACTTGCCACAGGCTCCGGCTGAAGCTCTGGGCCAGAAATGATGTCGTGCGTGCGCAAACTATGCGCTGTCATTAAATCTAACGAGTGTCTAGGGTCTGCGACTTGTCTTTACATTTTGGTAATGGGATGGGGACTGGGATTGAGACTGGGATTGGTATTGAGATTGAGATTGTAGCTGGATTTGGGTACATGCAAAATGTCTATATTCTACATTCTAAGAGACAGGCTGCTAGCTGACAACGTGGTTTTCACATAAGCTCGAGCATTAGCCGAAGCATTAGCTTTGGCTTAATTACACATCTGTGACAGCTTCTTCTTAAACTATTTCTAGGGTACCCATAAATTATGTCCTTATAATGGGCTGGCCAAATTACAGGCTCTGATTTATGGGCCAATTCAAAAAGACAAACATTTAAATTGATTTAAGTTTAACCATAAAATAGCCAGTATCAGCAAAGAAATGTCTAATAAGCTGCTGACTGAGTCGCTGATTTCAAAAGGACAACAAGGAAGAAAATTAAATTCGGGTTGCCGAACTTGAAATACCCTTGCACACATATAGTAACTATATCAGCTGTGGATATGGTATTTCGATTCGACGAACTGCTTATATACAAACTTTTAATAAAAGCCAAAATGCCTTCTGCAATGCCATTCAAACTTGGCCAATAGCAGTCAGCCTTGCCATTACAGCCCGCTCTGGTATGGGACTCTCCGTCAGCCCCTCGCATTTGCTTTGCCACAGAAAGTCTGGCAGCGCTTCGTTTTCAATTGAGCTCAAAAGCTTAAAAGCCAATCAATTCCCAGCGACATGCGTTCTTTCCCTCTTCCTCTCGCTCTCGCTCTCTAGGGGCAGCATTAAGGCAAGTGGCAAGCATTTTGAATACTCTTAGTTTACTTTGAATTTATTATGAGACTTTATTACAGCAAATCCTTAAAGTGAGCTATATTTGTAATTGATTTAAAGGTTTCTCGATACTATTTTCTTTACTTAGATTAATCAAGTTATATTTAGGTAAGGGCATACAAAGTTTCTCTAGTCATTCGATTACTTGTATACATTAGCGAACATGTTAAGTGTGAGTGTACCTGTACCTGATGCCAAATCGAAGTTCAGGCCATAACAGATGGCTGGAATCAATTAAAGTTGCGCATTACACGCAAAACAACTTAGAGCGAACCGGTAAGCTCTATGTGGTCCGCCCACCTAAAAATAAAAGCAGAAAGAAACGAGAAAAAATAAACCCCCATATAGCGATTAAATTGATTAGCAGGCGGAAATCAAGACCAAGACCAAAACCTGACTAAGAACCAAACGCATGGCCCACACGCAGTGCTCAGTCATGCAGCTACAACTGGAGCATTGATTGACTGATTGACTGCCAGTTCGACTGATTGATGATGTGAACTCTAATTGAAGTGCGCTACTCTCGCTGCTGACAAAGGCAATTTGTGGGCCACTCATCAAATTTACGACGATTGCGTACAGGCGCTGGCGATAAGGCAAAGATAGTCTGCGAATCAAGTGGGGCCGATAACACAATGCCCGATAAAGCAAGACAAGTGCTACACACGGCGAAAAATCCTTGATACTTTATTTACATCAGGAGCAAACGTTGCTCAAATCCTAATTTCCGTTTCTTTTGAAAGTCCCACCTAATTGCAGAATATTCAGGAAATATAATATAATAGATGGACAAGTTAGAATTTAAAACAGAGCTTTTCTTTCAGTGTACTCTCATCACCTCTAGCACATAAAATGTGAAAATAATGCACGCTCAACAGATATTTGTCTTGGATTTGAAAATAGCCACTCATAAAGCTGTTAACCAAACAAATGGACTCATGAGCGAGGCATCTGGATGAGCTGGCAGGGCAGCTGGTGAGTTGCAAATATTTGTGCGTTGATAGCACTTCATAAATACCAATGCGAATTGCGTGTGAGCATTATGAATTGTATTTTATAGCACTTGTAAGTGTTTCGATAAGATATATACTCAGGTAACGGGTATAAATATATAGAACAACTGCGTTCTGGCGGAAGTACAGATTAAAATCAATCAACCCATGCTTCTAGATCGAATTCCATAATTTAACTTGTAAAAAGCACACGCCAAGCGCCTGCTTTGGGGGTTCGAGCCCAGCTTTTTGTCAATTCCCATTCAATTCAAACTAAATACATATAGACTAATTGATTCATTAATGCTACCAGACTTTTGTGCCTCTTCTTTGCCGCAAGTAGAGCCCAATCTCACGCCATGCTCAAACAATTTACAGTTTGGGGCCATGTCATGACTTGGTCCGCATGCGTCGCACTCACACGACACTCACAACACTCACGTTTCTCATATGTGATTGGCACTCATTTAGCGCTGGACACCCACATGCCGTTATGCAAAACTAGCGCTTGGTTCCCAGCGAACCGACTCTGCAATGGGTCCAAATACACTTGACAGAGACACCCAAAAAAAAAAAACACCCCCCAACCTGTGCCCCTCACTTGGGCACAAACAAATGCAACGCCCGTCTGTCACTTGTTGTTGCTTGTTGCTGTTGTTTTATTCAGTGAACCCGGTCCGTGCAATTAGCTGGAGGTTGTTTGTTCGGCCAACATTTTGGCTGCATATGTGTGTGTCTGTTGTGTTGAGATTGAAATGGGTGCGGAACGCTGCCCACGTCAGGCAAGCGGACAATGTTTTGGCCACAATTTGTTTAACAAATTGTTATTAAATCGTACAATGTCTGCCAATGATTGGCCATTGTGTCAAGTTAATTGCAAATGGGAGGCCCAAGATTCAAGCTGAAACTGAAACTAAGTTGGGCTGCCCACATTTAGGCCAGCCAGTTTCTGGGCCCTTTTTGGATCCAACCAAAATAAAAAAAATTAAACGAGTTTTCGGCTTTTGCGCAGATTTTCTTTGTTTTTCTCTATTTTATTTTTTAGACAAACTGTCATTCAATTGTCAATATCTGCGCGGCTCGATCGTCGATCGTCACGACTTGCTGCCTTCTGGCTGTCGGAAATTGGTTTTGCATTGAACTTCAATTGAAATTTGCTGGCTCGCTGGCAGCTTGGGCCACGGCCATGGGCGTGGCGGCTGCTGGGGCACGTGGCAGCTGTGAGCGTTACATGCAGCGCAATATTTCAAAAGAAAGTTCAACTACATAAAATAAATCTAATTAATTGTCGCAAAATTGCATTTGGGCATAGACTTTCAAATTGGAGCGTCAGATTCTGTATAAACATATAATATTGGCATGCATGGCAGATTTTTCGACTCAGATACGACTATGACGAGATATCGTTCATACTGTAGATTCAAATTTAATTGTTTTTGGGTGCTTGACACCTAAACTCTTCGCTCAGTGTATCTTCCAGCCCTTACCGTACAGTCAATCAGTCAAGAGACACTCTTACATATAAATTGATTACATGTGCATGTATTTGTTTTCACTCAGTAAACACAGATTCGTATTCTATCTAAAATTTGTCGACTTTCTGAATTGCTCGTCATCAAAAGCAGCGTCAAAGCTAAGCATGAAGCTAAGTAGCTGCTGTTGCTGCTTGAGCTTAAGAATGGGCACTACATTAATATCTTTGATAACGGCTCTAATGTATGCCTCGTCTATGGTGACTATGGCGCTCTTTCTGGCTAACAAGCTGCCAGGTAAGTGTGGGCAACGCCCATATCATAAAGCACATGGCACATCCTCGACTGTCTCTCTCTCTTTAGCCGAGCTGGGCAACGAATATCTTTGCCAGGATACGCAACTTTATGTGCTCATTGCATCATCAGTTATGCTAATAAGCGCTCTCTTGTTAGCCTTTGGCGCACAATTGGTAAGGAACTGTATCTGTATCTGTATCTATATCTGTATCTGTATCTGTAGGAAATTCCGTTCTTTCGCCCTGCCCTGGCTGCTATTCGTTTGCATTCACATCGTTGCTGAGTGCATAACATTAATTTTGATTATTCGCTACGGTGGGCCTTTATATTTGATTCTTATAACATTCACAGCCTTGAGTGAGTGAAGGATATTTAAACCAGGGCTGCACACCCAAGTGTTCGACCTTTGGCTGAGTGTGAAAAATTCCCGTTCGAGCACGTTCGGTTCAGATCCGGTTTGCAGCCTTGATCTTAACCAAGTCCTTAATTACTTGTAATCAAATTTCCTTTCAATTGCAGCTATATACACTTATTTTTGGCTGGTTGTTTTATTCTTTTTTAAAGATATATTGGCCGATTGATGTTCCATTTTTACTATTTCATATTTCATATTTCACATTTCACTCAACCCTGCTTCGCATTCACTGTCAAAATTTTTGGTACACTTAAATACGTATACGTATTAGCACTCTTCTCTCAGCATAAACTTGATCATGATCTTTCGGCGATGTTGCTGCTGTTTTCCACTGCGTTATGGCAGCCTGACTATCGGCATTGTATTTACCTGTCTCTTCTTTGCCGAGATGGCTTTCCATGGTGAACAGTGTATTTTTATATGTAAGTCTTTATATATACATATATATTCCTTTATTCATCCAACATATGGTTTCTACACTGACCTTTACAGATACTAAAACCAACGACTGGAATTTTTTGCAGTCGATCATTTTGGCAACTGGCATTATTTCCTCATTAATGTTGATCTATGGCGCCTATAAGGTAACTTACTCCACATCTACATACTTGTCTTCAAAGAATTTAATAACGTCTTTTACAATATCTGACTACTATTGGCAGCAAAAACGATGTCCCTTAATAGTCTGGATGATAACCTTCCTGATCATATTCGTATTATACCTCGTGATGTCCATATTAGATATAGTATTGTACCATTACTCAATTGAGGGTATAAGCATGCAAGTAATTATTCTACGTAAGTTTGCTGTAGGAATTATCTATTCTATCGTCTATTGTACATTTCAATCTCACTTTATTTACTCCTTTATCAGTAAGTATTGCCATCTCGCTGATGTTTGTGCATTCCCACTTCAGAGAATTCTCGTTATAATGCAGGAAATTATATTCAACTGTCATAAATTGCGTACGTGTTTTATCATTTTTATTATCCATTTTATTGATCTGTCGTTTAAAAATCGATATAAATATATGTATAAAAGAGTGTGACTTGTGACAGACTTACTGACTTTTCAGTTTCCGTTTGAAAATGTGCACCACGCTGGAGTTTTAGAAAACTCGTCCTTCAATAAGGGGAGACAATGGTTAAAGCTTGTATGAACACAACCTCAACAAAAATGCTGCCAAATTCCACAGCAATTTTCAATTTTGGTGTTTGAGTAGAATTTTGTAATATTCTCAGAAGGAAAAGATAATTTTCAACAAATGAAAAGAGAAATATATTAAAAGAAGGCCAATGAAAAGGCGTGTGTCGGAACGAATTTCCCAACTATTTTTGATGCAGTTTGCAACGAAGGACTCTAATTAATTTCTTTTAGTACATATAGATGCATATATATTTTAGTTATTCGTTTAATGTTTGGCTTGAGCAATCGAGTTGACCTTTTGTAAAATGTTATTGTATATCAAATTTGAGGGCTACCATTTACAAAAAACTGAACTCTCCACAGAGCTTAACTTCAAAAAAAAATATAACTTGATTTTTCATTTCAAATATTTCATAATTCCAAATTACGTGAAGACCGGGAGGATCATAGCATATCGAATTTTCTTCTTTTCTGGTTTATTTATAGATACTAACCAAGATGGCTTGTCACTGCAAGTACTTTATAAAGATTTTGAACAAATGCTGCTTCTGTTTCTCGCTGCGCACGGGCACATTATTGTTGGGCTGCATATTCTTGACCTGGTTCGTTTACCTATGCCTAGGCAGCGCTTTCATGATGCGGTGCATCTTCCCCAATGAATATCAGCGTGAGGTTTTTGGTCCTCCGGCAGCCCCAAAGACAACAATGGTCTTCTCGTTCTTCGGCATCATAGCCGCCTCAATGGTCTGCATTGGAGTGCATAATGTGAGTAAAAATTCAGAAAAGCCTGCCGAGCTGCGTATACCCTAGCAATAATACTTCTATGGAGGATGTCACTGTATGGGCATCCCGCATTCACAATCCAATCTTACAGAATCCTATCTCCCACAGAATAACGAACTGTTGTTTGTGCCATTTCTGGTGCTCACTCCTTTCTATATCCTCGTGCACATAATTGCCATGATAGTGTATGCCTGGGTCTGGGTCATCATCGCTCTCTTCATAATTACAATAAGTGAGTGTGTCAAGTTCGGCTGATTCTCTTCTAATTGGTTTTCAACTAACTTACGCAGTTGTTTTAATCTATGCCTGGGTGATAATCTTCTCTTACTTTTCGGAACTGCGCTATGCCTACGATGATGAGCAGCCACACCACACCTACATCTAAGACACAAATTGGTCAAAACGGTTTATTTATGTTCTGCATGTTTTAATTGATTTGCTGGAGTAAAAATTGTTCAAGTGAATATCTCGTTTTAGTCGCCAGTCTAATGAAACTTTTCCATTGGAAAAGAGAGTTGCAACTGTTGTCATTGAAAAATTTATCCCGTGTGTGTGTTGGGAAAATGATTGCACGAATATATTTTCTTTTGTTGTTTCGATGTACAAATTCTCTAAGATCTACATTTCTCAAATAAATCAATTTCATTATGTGGAAATGGATATGGATGCTCAATGAAAATGGAAAATATCAAAAAGATACTTGGCTCGGGGAAATCTGGAGAATAATATCTGATATAATGGCATACACGTATGATTCGGGCTTATCTTTTACACATTCTATTTACACGACTTTCTGGCTGTCATGCATGATGCGTCATGCGGGTTGATCTGGTTGTCTGTAGCTTAAGAGTTGGGGGTCTGAACTTACCTTTGGCAGTGAGGCGAGCACCTGCTGTTTGACATCCCAGACGAGACGCTCCGATGGGAACTGAAGACACTTGTAGACATTCAGCTCCGGCACATGGATGCGCACCAGTAGCCAGCCATCCCGGGGTTCTGGCGGCGGCTCATCGTCAAACGCACCCGGCCCGGATGTGCTGTCCATATTGGCCGGGTTCTGTTTGACTTTGGGCGTGGGTGGGTGATACGTCGTAATTTTGAAGGCTTTTCGCGCACAGCGTCACAGTTTACAAAAAAAAAAAAATTAATTGGCTGAAGAGGCAAGTTTTCTGCCTTCTCTATTCTTTACTGTCCTTTATGCCTATTAGTTTGCTTTGCAGCTCGTATTTTTCGTTGATATTTTAGAAATCTTGTCAATGGCGCATTTATTTGATTGAGCTGGACGTTGCCAATTGTTGAAAAGCGTTTCGCTCAGACATTTCCTCGGGGCTTTTCCGATGAATGGACAGCTTATCAATTGGAATGTGCATTATAATGCTGCTAAAAAGAGAGAAAGGTTTCAACATTGTTAATAAGGTTTAAAAATCAGAGAAAACCAAAATAAGAAATACGAAATAGTTTATTCAATAGTAAAGTTCATACACTCGCTTGTTACGCAGTTTTTGTCTGAGTGTAGCCAATCTTTGCCTCTTTTAGAGCCCAATCTGTATCTGTGAGTACTTCAGTAACCACGCGAGACGTTAAATATGTTGTCACAGCACTTGGTTGACGCAAAAAAAACTTAATTTGTAAATTGGTTTACAATTTTTTTTAGCGACTACATAGTCGACTTGTCCGCACCCCCGCCGCTTTAGGCAGTCAGGCAGTCTGTCAATCGGTCGCTGTCATTGTGTCAGTCGCACGGACACTTCCCCATAAGCCCCATAAATTGCCAAGGCGGGCAAAAAGCAGACACATTCAACATTCGCTGTTGCTGTTGCTGCTATTGCTGATTAGTCGCTGATATTGACATTTTATAGCCGCAGCAGCACACTCACTGCTGCAGTCGGAGTTGGGTTTGCAGTTGCAGTTGCCGCAATTATGCACAAATTAAATTCACACGCTAAGCTCAAAAGCGAAAAAAGCAAACTGGAAGGCGGTTTTTATGGCATCAGCCAGTAAATGTGTGCCAAAGCGAATAGAGAGCGCGGCAGGGGCTATGAGGATCAGGCATTTTATGGCAGCCGTGTTGATTGTTTTAGTAATTGGCTCAGAATGGTTACTAATAAAACTTGCGGGTGGCAGATTAGCTGAAAGCATCTTTAGCGGGAACAAAAAGTGATAGGCGTTCATTTACAGATTGGGTCAATCAATCTGATTGACGATCAACACACAGCACAATGCTAGCTATCTAGGATCTTGTTTGATTAACGAATAAGCTCTCAGACTGCATTCTTACCGCCAGGCTGGAAAGTTGATCAAACAAATTTATAAAAAGCAACCTCACCTTCTCACGCGAGTCTTTTGCTATGCCTAAAACACACAATTGTAGTCGGAACAAATCTTTACAGCAGTGCTCAAGCATAGCTCAAAGTACTTCGAGTGCCACTTCTCTTAGAACACTTAAACAAAAAAAAAAAAAAAGCCAAGTACAACACTCAATTATCTCGCTCGTAAATCATTAAATTGCGCCTAAACGATTCAGATTGTTGCAGTCTACTTATTTCCTAACTACAAATATATATGGCTTAAGAACCTACAAGTAGAAAGCACATTTGAAAGTGAGTTGAGTTTTGTTTTTTTTTTTTTTCTTTTTTAATAGGAGGCAATGCAAACAGAACACACACAGAAATATTTATCCAGTTCAGTGCACTCGAAAAGGGACCCAGAAACACGACAATTGAAAAGATGTCACGGTCAAGAAACTGCGTACACTTTGCCGAAATACATAAATTAAATAAATTTAAACAAGTGGACTGAAAACAAGAGCCGTTCACCTTGACAACCCACCTGTCAATCAAACAGGCCAAGTGAAAATTATCAACAGCTCAACTGCGACTCCAATATTTTGGGACAGATAATAACATGGCCAAGGCAAAGGCAAAGTCAAAGGCAGCTGATTTGGCTAACGAGCAGGCACGACTGTTTGATAAGCCCTCTCTCTCTCTCTCTTTCTCTCTGATAAGAACTGGCTATGAATTCTGGGGCGTTAAGGTAAACAAAACTTTTAATTAACAGCAATTGTCGCCGCATACATTACGCATACGCATACGCCACGTGGTCACAAGTCATTCAACTTAATTAAAAAAGCAAGCGAAGTGTGGCATATCTATGCAATAATCTTTTTATGCGCCTCAAGCTTATCAGCACCAGCAGAAGAAGAAGTGGGAGCAATTGGAATTCAATTATACCCTGCCAAAGGGTATACTAATTCCATCACGGCATGTGTAACGTGTGTATATCCATTATTGCCGTGTCCCTCTGCTTTTATCCGAACTCATCTTACTATTATCCTCTAGAATCCAGATATCATATAGCTGGCAATCGCACTTCCAATTAAAGCTATATTGTTTATCAAGAAAGCCATATGATATGGTTGCTATCTGAATCAGAGAAAATACATAAATATATTGCCCAACTGCTAAGGTATTTAGGACTCAATAAGCTGAAACAAAACTCTCCCTCTCTCTATCTGCCCCTTTCTATCTCACTGTCTCTTTCTCTTTCCTTGTCTTGAATTGAATTGAATTTCAGCGCGCTGAATCTTCGGGTCTTAGCCCAAAGTTTAACGCTGACATTTGCTGCGCTTTTTATGGCCAATCGCTTTTAATTGGAAAAGTTGCGAAGCGAACGTTTATTTTGCAGCTGAATACTTGCCCAGCCACCCACTTTGCTGCGCCTTTCCATCCAACAACTTGGCCAATACTTTTTAATCGCAGTTTAAAGTGCGCAGTGTTGATTTATGAATAGCGCAAAGCAGCAACAACTCAATTATCGCAATTATGGTGCGAACTGCAACACTAACAACCACTAAAGCAATAACATTTGATTATCGCAATTTCCATGCCAGCTAAGTGCTGCGATTTTTCACTTAAAGCGCATAATTTTGCACAAAAAGCATTTAGGCTTGGGGCTGCGCAACCCCTTTTCTGTTGACTTTGATTGAAAAATTATGTTTGACCTTTGCGCTTGTGACATGTGCACAAATCATCATTTATGTTTGCTCTGCTCCTCGCTCCGTCCCCCCCCCGCCTGCTGGTCATTTCGCTCCAATTGTTTTGTCAGTACCTGACAGCTGTCAGTTTGTCGTGTGTGTATGTTTCTGTGCTTCGACCACCAGGTGGCGCAACAGCCAATTCTCGCCCTCAACCCTCAAATCCATCTGACAGTTATGTGCTCTTCACGCCTGACAGGCAACATTCATTGCCGGGGGGTCTTTTATGCGCCCCAATTTCGAAATAAGCTACCTGATATATAGCTGATTCGGCGGACAGCAAATCCCTGTAAAAATAAACAAAAATAAGCGAGGGTGCTTTAATCGAGATTACTCTACTAATAGATACTCTGTGTCTGGGACATTTCCTATAAAGGAAGTAGATGAAGATGGATCCGTCTTCATGCTATATTTTCGCAGCCATTTTTAGGCAGAGGGTAAAGTTCAGTTTTTCCATTAATGTCCACTGTTTCCTTTTTATGGTCTTACATTCATATTTTACGCATTTAGTGCAGACTTTTTGCAACTTAGTTGTTAAACTTGCAGTCAGGTTGTAAAACATGAAAAGCTCTTAAATTTGGACAACCCTGACGCCCACTTGAGCAGCCTCTGAGCTGTATGCACTCGAGTGCGCCGGCTGTCGCAAAGTTCAGCTCAAGTATTTGTGACACTTTCTGACAGCCATCGAAATTTGCCAAAAAGTAGATGAAGAATATTACAAGGAGCAGAGTGTGACTGGCAGAGTGGCCGCCTGCTGTGGCCTAACCCAATGCCCCACAAAGTGCAGCTGCGGCAAGTCTGGGCACACTTGAAAGACACTCAGCTGAAATGATGCCACATCGAATGGATTTTAGTGAAAATTAGTTCCCTGACTGATGGACGGCTGACTATAGCCCAAGGGGCTCAGCGGGCTCAGCGCGATTTGTGGGTCAGCGTGCAACAAAATGTCACTCAGTTGCCGCAGCACTCATGAGTGTTGCGGCATTCGCAAGCAAATACCCTTAGTCATGCATATTTTAAATTGCGTACAGCTTTAAAGCAAATTACTTTTGTCATTTTAATGGCTGAGCTTTAAATGAGGCACTGTGATTTCGGCGACCAGCAGCCTGGGGTGGCAGGGCTGCTGTTGCGTAGGGGTTGGCTTGGGTTGGTGCCGGTCCGCAATTTTGTCGGATGTTGCGAATTATTTGCCTTGGCAACGCAGCACCAAATTGCCAACAAACAGCTGCAGCGAGGCGGACGGCCACGCCCTCACCCACAACTTAATAAATACACAGCCATTTTTCTCGAGCAGTGGCACAGTGAAACGTAATGGGAAAACTGCAAAATGCTAAGAGTCGAACCAGCTTCCCTCTTTATACTTATTAGTTGAATTCCTGTATATCTATTGTCCTAGAGTTTGTGATTTTAGCCAAATTCTTTCATTAAACTGAACCAGCTATTTAAGGCTTAAACCCAACAGATTTTACTTTGGTTTTTTTTTATATATATATATTGTCTCACTGTGCAGCTTGCAGTTTGCAAATCGAATCGCCATTTTGTTTGCGCTCTGCTCGGCTCTTGGTGCACTGTGTTGTGTGTACCGGAAACGGAAATGCGCACATAATTCTGTTAGAAAACGTGGTACAGTCCATGAGCAAGCCACAGGCTCCGCTTGCCGTACTTCATCTGGAATTCCAGAGACGCGCACTTTAATTAAATAATATTAAATACAATTATGCTCTGCGCCTTTCAGCTGAGCGCAAGTTTAAGCTGAAATCTGAAAGTCAGGATAGATTTTAGTCTGTTAGCACAGCAAAACACGTCGCTCAAGTTTGTGGCAATGTCAAAGTTTCTTGGCTAATTTATTTTTTACTATTTTTGTATTTCCAAGGCAAAGAGGAAACAACAGCATCAGCATCAGCAGCAGCAACAGAAAAACAAATCTAAAGAAATACAAAAAAAAAAAAAAAAAAAGAAAAGAAGAACCGAAAACTTGTTTTCCAGTCACGTTCATTTTCAATCAAGTGGCATCATTATATGCCAAACAATTCAGAGAGAGAGAAAACTAATACAATAAGAAAATTAACTCTGACCCATGCGGCTGGCCAAGCCAGCGGCCACACATATGTGGCACCAATGGCTGTTGCCCTTAACCCTTCTTTTGCGCCCTCTCCAAGAGCCGTCAATTGGCCGCCGGTCGGATTCTTTGTCTAGTTGCTGCCTGTGGGGAATGCCTGAATGGTTTCTGAATTGAATACAGTTCAGTTGATGGCAGGAACCACAGCAAATTACGCTAAACTCAAGCTCCAAAACCACAAACTGACTTCCTGTTCTGTGCGAGTCGAAACCTGGCAAATGTTGTAAAACAAAAAACTTTTACCTGCCACTGACAATTTGGGCATCGAGCATCTATTTGATTGAAATTGTTTGATTGTTGTTTCGGTTGCTAAAAGATAGTCCAAAAAGTTTGGACATGAAAATGCAGCAGAACGTTAAATGCACTTGAACTAAAATCCAGACAGTCAAACAAAAGTTGGTTTTGGATTTGAAATCATTTTCGTGCTTTTGTAAAACATTTCCGAAATGGAGTTGCTTTCAGCCTTGGAGTTGAGAAAAATTTAAACTAACATTGATTGATTTTCTTTGATTAAACAAAATAGAATTGAGGTTTCCTATCTGAAAGACTTTAAATTGAGCCACTTTAGATTCAAGTTTAGTTTAAATAATTTTGCTATATTTTAAAATGCAACATAATTTCGCACAGAACGCATTCAATTTAAACAAACATTTTATAAAGGCTTTTACGGCACATGTCAATTGCAGTAAATGCGCAACCAATTGGATTTCACAATATGAAGTGAGTTTTATGGCCAAGTCGCTTACCAGACGCCGCACACACAAATTTCTCGCTAATTTCAGCAGCCGAATTACGTCACTGCGCACAAAATGCGCCATTAAGTCAGAGTCTCAGCGAGATATATAACTATATAGAGATACAAACATATAAAGGTAGTATGGCTCATATGTTAGCTTGTTGCTGCAATCAATGGAAATAAATTAAAACGCCGATTAAAAAAGAACAAAACTCTATGCAAATGCGGCGACTGCTTCGACCGGTTTGAATGCAGCGCAGGTAAAAACAAACGACAGACAGCAAGCACACACAACACACACTCGCACACTCATTCGCAATAACATGAAAATAAATATATAATAAATGAAATCCAAAGCCATTTAAATGCAGAAAAAAAAAAAACTTTATTAAAAACCTCATGTTCAATTTGCAAGCACATGAACGCGTTTTACTTAATAAGTTCCCCTGCTGTGCTTCGCCTCAAGCATGTGCTTTTAGGCGAGTGAAAAAGGGAGCCAGTCTGCGAAATCATCAAAATTTTTAGTTTTTTTTGGAGTTCCTTAATTTCTATTTAACGTGCATATATTTTTTCCTGTCAATTTACTCGATAAACGTAATTTATTTGGCCAGCAGCAGCAGCAAACTTCAACAAGGCTAATTTCATATTTTGCGTCTGGCTTCCCTCCCTTCATGCTAACCAATACTGGCTGCAGGGCCATCAATCATACGCCATGTGAACAGCAGACGCAGACGCAACAGCAAATCAATGAACAGACGCCCACCCCTCCCCCAAAAGAGCATAACATAGTGTTGTACAGCGCACTGCGTAGCCAGCTGTGGGTGGCTGCACAACACACAAAACAAACACAAGCACACACGCGTGCAATGTTGTACAACGCCCACAGTCGCCTGAAAATTGCATGCCAATTGGCAGCAACGGCTAACAAATTTTCGCGCTGGCAGAAAAACGACAACAACAACAACAAGTAGAAGAAGAAGAAGAAGGAGAAATAACAGCAAATGTCTTTACTTGCGGGCAAATTAACGTGCAGCCAATCGAAATACACTTCTGTGGAGCGAGACACAACGCTAATTGGATATAGACAAATGTTCGTCCAGCCTGACTGATTGACTGATTGACGAATAACACACAGCTCCAGATGTAGGAAAATTGGTGAAAACAGTTCTATACATTTTTGAAATGCATTCAATGCGTGTCTCATACTTTTCCAAGGTGTTTTATTGAACAAAAAAAAATTACATTAATGCGTGATTCATTGATTTTTGAAAAGTGAATAATACTTTCCCGTTCAAGGCCGGGTAATACTTGCCAGTATAAACATGAAACACAACGAAACCTCAATTTACTTTATTGAAAATGTAATTGAATGCAGATTATTACTAACCAAAACAAGAGCTGTTCGTATATGGATCGCATAACACACAGTTTAGGCTGAAGTAAACAACATTTGATGCCAGTTTAAATCAAACAATATAAACACAGAGTATTTATAATTCGGCAGGCGTTTAATCTGGCATAAGCTTAGCTAAGTTTTCTTATTTATAGACCCACTGGCGTTGTCAGCGTTGTAATCAGCGTGGTTGTTGTTGTTGTTGTTGTCTTTGACACCAAACAACTTTATAGAAAGACCTCGCTCAGTGCCATTTGAGCCCAATCGCTCAATTTGTGAACCGGGCCTGAGGGTTGGGGGAGTTCGGCTAGTGTTATGTAAATGCTCGTTGAGTGTGGCATCTCCTTGGCTCGGCCACAAGTTGTAACAGCCTCGACTACATAGATAATAATTAACAGCAATTTCGGCTAACACACACACACACACACACAGACACTCGTCACACACACACTCGTGTAATTAGGCTGCAATGAGTGCCAAAAATGGTATGGCAAAAAGCTGTAAACGCTTTTGGGCAACTTTGACTTTTTATGGCCCCAGAAGTGGCAGCTTGGCTAACCAAAAAAAGTGGTCAACAAATGATTTTTAATAACTTTGACACTCATTAAACTCAAATTACATGCATTTTGATTACGCAGGTTTTGCATTTGAGCTCAAGTTAAGCCGCTTATGTTTCTTCATCGGGCCACGTCTCCCCATATGGTATATGCTATATGGCCATAAGACCGAAACGGTAAAATGTCTAGTTACTCTCACACATTATGGTCATTATAAATGAATTTCGATGCGACCAGTTGTAGCCAAAGCTGGCCAAGACTTAAGGCAGGTTTTTGAACAGCCTCCCCTTAAGAAAATCCCAGTGCTTGAATACATTATTCAAGTTGAGATTCTCACAGCTAGCTCCAAGTTTTATACTCTACCAGCGCGCATCTTAAGTCCCATAAAATTTATCTATTCTTGGTCTGTATGCATGGCAAAATAGTTTTTAAATTTTCCTAACAAGTATATATATCGCATTCATCGGAATCAGATTACCGTAAAAGGTATTTGAATGCATTTTTGAATAGGTTCGGTGCATATTGTCCGATCGGGCTTGAAGTATGTATATCTGTATGTATATCTTGTATATCTGACTGCCAACATTTAAGCAACCGCGTATCTAAACTGAAATTTATCGATTTTATTGATATCAAGGCGTTTACTCAAGACGAGATCAACTCAGTCTAATGGCCAGATCAAAAATATTTATTACGTACTATTAGGAACTTGTGCACAGAGCTATCATACCCTTTTCCAGAGCATAGCAACCTCATTTAAATACTCTTTAAAACAGTGATAAAACCTAATCAAATCATGTGGTTAATTAGTTTTTAATTGGCTCAAAAGCGGTCTCTCCCTCGCCTCTGTTGGGCTCATTGAACTGTTTACATAAAAATTGAATTGTTTTTCGCGAGCAAAAACAAGAAGAAGACGAGAATGAAACTCATTAAATCAACTTAAAGTTCTCAAGACAAATGCCGCCGCGATTCTCACCAGCTGTCAGCGACAAGTTATCGGGCCAGGGGTGGGCTCTGGGCAGGAGGGGTGCGGTACTGGGGCACTGGCAGATTAAGATGCAGTGCGTCGAATTAATTACGCATTTCATTGTGGTTTTTATTTTACTGTGTTGTTGCCGCTGGGCACATTAACTTTGACTGGGCCAAGTCGCATTTAAAAAAGAAGCACTTTAACTGACCTGTTCCCAACCTAACCCCTCGTGCAGGCATTACGCCTTTGTCTTTATTTACGTTTTTTTTTTTGCCCATAACCCTGAACTTGACATTTATGAACTCTTTGCTGGACTGGAACCTGCCACTTGGCAGCTGCTCTTTGCATTTATCGCTCGTGTCGCGACCATGTGCTAAGTTCTTTTTAATTGCCCTGCCCCCTGCTAGATTCACACTCCTCCCCCAAGCTGACACATTAAGGTGTGCTACTCGTTATAGTTGTTGTAGTTTTTGTGCCATCGTAAACTTCTTTTTATGACCCATTGCGATCTGGTACGTGCTCGCGGGCATGGAAGTGCAATCTCCTCACCGTCCAGCGTCCACACAAAGTGCCTGATTCTATTAGGCCCTCAACAGCTGTTCATGAATTAACTGTGGCTCACAACGGACTCTTGGGGCCCAGACGGTAGCAACAAAGAAGAAGAAGCGCGACACACCTTCAAATAATATAGTTTTGACTAGTTCTTGGTTTCTCATAGAAGAAAAGTATTGCAACAACTACTTATATATTATGTGCTCTCTGTGCAATCATATTGATTTCTGACTGTTGCTTGAAGATTATTACATATATTTCTCCGATCTTTAACATAGCTTAACCTAAAGAGCTGATGTTCTGCCATGTATCAAGATTTGTAGAGGCGCAGGCAGTATCATAAAATTCCATGTTAACGTCAGTCATCGAGCTGAGAAATGTTTATGAGCCAACAGCGACTAAATTATGACCCGAGCGTACGACAAATTGTCAACTGCGATTATCGTTGTAGAGTTTAGCAGAGACTTTTCCACTTTTCACGTGAATGGGAAATGGGAAATTGTAGCTGGTAAATGCAAAATGCTGACACAAAGAAGCAGCTGTAAAATTGATGGGGCTTCTGCTGCTTGGGGCCTGGCGAAGCACCGTTGCAATGGACCAACGCAAACTCCACTCAGCCCAAGCACATGACGCAGAGAATTCGCAGCACTCAAACCTGTCGTCAAGTCGCGGAATGGCCCAGCAAATAGAATAGAATAGAACCAACCTGAACAGTAGCTAGTTGGCTGATGAAGACTCTTGGCATAAATCTTGATATCGGTACATTATTAACGTCAATTAATTCTAACTGTTGGTATGCCACACGGTATGCTGCCCGCTGGGGTGGCCATTAAACAGTAGCCAAGCAATCGCAGGGCGGGGCTTGCAACAGACGAGACGCGGCTGCCGGAGCTACAGGCCACAGCCAGCAGCGAGAGTGAAGAGCCGCTGCCAGCTCTGATGGATAGCTGCCGAGGAAGTCAAGAGTTCTAATCACGCCAGAGAAGAGTTGCACGCGTGAGTTGCAATCACGGGTACTTATGGGTGGGCTGTGGCGGTGCCACATAAATTTTGGGTGCAGTAGATGTACGTTTCCTAAATATGAACAAAGTAATAATGATGCACTACGGGACTGTAAGGAAAATGGGCTTTAGAGTTTCATAATGTTCCTTTAATATAATTTCCCCTACTTTTTTCCTAAGAACTCGTATCAAACAGTTCCATAAGAAATTACAGAGGCGTTAACTAATTGCAGAATCTGCTCACTTATGATTAAATTCTGGTCATGGTGAAGTACTTTCCGGAATTTCGTGCAGCCAAAATTTGCAATGACTCATTGAGTATGCCAAAAGTATTCGTAGTACGCTTACTTACTCTGACTCAGATTCCTTTATCTATATACGCTTTTAGTGTTTGTCTGATATCTGATATATAAAATATAAGCATATATATCAAGAATTCACAACTCAATTCAGTTTTCAAATCAAAACTCACGCTACCAACGACCCTGTTGTGTCTGTCACGGTCTCATCTCTAGCCCTCAGCTGTTGCAATTGTTTGTGGTATTTTTCTGCATTTGCTGTACTCGCTGTTGTTGTTTTTGTTATTGCTGTTGTCAACCTGTTTAGCCGTCGCTTCCGCAGCAGTCAGACCAAGTGCATCAGCATTTGTTCAAGTATTAGAATTGGCTTCAAGTATTTTGCTGTGGTGTCTGTGTTGGCATTTTGTGCCTCCACGTTGGGCCGCCGCACGATTCCAAAAGCCGATTAATATCAGCCTCACGTGAGTGCAGGCTTTGTTGTAGCTCTTGTTGTTGTTATTGCCTTCTTCTTTTTACAGTTGCTTCTTCTTTGGAAAATTGCTTTGAACTTGAAAATTTCCCACGTGACAGCGACTGTCGCTGTTGCCACTGCCCCGACCCATCGCCCCACCGCCCCTCCGTCCAAATCATCACTCAGCATGTATTTGTGCCACATGTGCGCCTTTTGTTTTTTGCTGCAAGCATACTCCCCTTCCTCCCCTGCCACCCCTACTCTAGGTTACCCTTTAGCTGCACTTTGCATATCATCGTCAGCGTGTCGCCTCCGCTAACGGATTGCCTCTTTATTGTTGTTGCTGTTGCTTTTGCTGTTTTGGTTGACTGGCAGATCTTCAGGTTTAATATTTGCCCAACGTTTTGTGGCAAGTGTCGAGCGTGTTGCATTCGGCCACATTTAATTGGATGGATTTCGTGTGGCATATCTCGCTGTGTCCATCGATTGTTTGCTCCATTGCGGCCGTTTAGCAAATTGTAATTCTCAATATATCGTGAGCAACATTTTAATATATCATTTTATTATAATTGTGGGAATACCACAACGGAGAATGGTTGGGGAAGCCGAGAAGAGCATAGTTTGAACAGCACACAATACAGGATGATTATAAAAAATACTGTAAGATGGGGTTCTCACGGATTTGCAAATATATCGCGCGCAGTTAAATATACAATTTCGTTTTTACAGTTTGAGCATCATGGCAAAGGTTGAACAGCACTTGAGAGAAAGCCCAGTAAGACTGTGTTCTCTTAATTCACAGTAAGTTTACTTGATTATTGAACTGGTGATTCTCAAACTGTAACTGTAAGTGGCAGCCAAACTGTGACTTTAAAATATATATATTTTTTATACACGGTCAATATAGCTTATACCCCCTCTCACCCTGAAAACAGAGCAAAGATAACTTTGAAATAATTAAAAAAAAACAGTACAAGAGAGTTAAGTTGAGTTTGCCACAGGTTTTCCAAACGATTTACATTGACATTAAAATGCAATTTGTTAAATGACAACGGCCACTCGATGCTTTTCCAGCATCTGCACCACCAATTGCACCACTTTCGCCCACTCAGCAGCACTTCCGCAACGTGAAAGCCGCTCGCAAGTCTCTTGGCCACTTGGCCACTTGGCTACTTGCCCTGGCCATATTTTGCTGGACTACAAAAAGCTTGAGTGGGTGGCCTGCTTTAAATACCTGTCAGATGAATGGACTGGGCTACCATAAATAACAAATTTGCCGACAACTTCATGAGGAGCTTCTGCACTCGGCGAAACTTTGTGTTTCCAAATTCCATTACTGAATGAAAGTTCAAGTCCAGCTTTTAAAATATTAAAGATATTCTTGAATAATGCATGAAGTATACTAAAATAAGCAAACTTGATTTAAATAAAGGCAAAACTACTTTGTGCACTTGAAATAAGTTCTTTCAACGGATGCTTACAGTTTCTTAGATGGAAATTCGTATGGGTTTTTCTCTGAGTGTCGCATATAGTACAAGACCTGCCTGCAAGGCGCACACACACAATTAAAAATGGAGCCTCTTTAAATAACTTGAGCTCTGAAACTGCTCCCTAGCTAGCCAACTTGTATGCCAGCCCCCTCTCTGTGGCCCCTATGTAGACCTGCCCGCCTCTGTCGTAAGTCTTTCATAAATATTTGAGCAATCGCTAACCCAAATACAGTTTGCCAGCCAGCACACGTTTGGTGTGCTCGCTGCAAACAAAGGCACAAAAGGGGGAATCACTCGAGAGTTCCTTTAAATGCGCCCATATAATGTTTTTGCCAATAGAACGACAACTGTTGTAGCTGGAACTGTAACTGTAACTGCAACTGCACTTAACGTTCTCTATTATTTACTATATGGCGCGTCATTCTTGGCACCTGCTCGTAATTTAACCGATTGAAAGCTGTTCGCGTGGGCGGCATCTGCTGGCAACATTCCACGGCGCTAATTACGTGAAGTTTACTTTGAAAACAGCGCAGTTGCAGTTGCAGTTGCAGTCAATGTGCCTTGTCTTCTATGCCCTACAGCTAAATGCCCAAAAGGGTAGCTAATGCTAAAAAACTGTATAGCTAGGCCCAGAACCAGCAAATTCCAGAATTGAAATCATCTTATCCCCTTTACTAAGCGTGAACCTGTTGAGAATTACAAGCGTCGAGCAACAAAGCAGTGGCAAAGCGAGCAAAATCAAAATTATCTACCTGTGTGTTTTGTTTGTCAATTTTGAAGATAAACTTGATTGTAAACTTCCTATAAAAGATGAATTCTTGGAGTAAAAAGAGTTTGACTTTCAGAATTAGTATACAAACTAAAGATACATTCTTAAGGTCTGCAGGTTTGTTTTAGAGTGACATTTACTATGATCGACACATCTGGGCCCCTTGTGATACCGTGGACCTGCCCTTAAGCCCTGATACTGATTCAGTCAGCTTCAGCTGACGCTACCTAAAGCAAAAAGAGAATCCGGTTTAAGACAGGACTAATTTGACGTAATTTACTTCATCTGATCTCAGAAGTCGATCTCTTTATTTATCGAGCCTAGACGCTATCAATTGTCGTTCTCTTTTTTTTTTAGCAGGGCATCTCTCCGCCTAGCACTCGCGATGTTTACCTTTTTTTTTTTTGGTTGTGTGCATCTGTAGCGAGTGAATCGAAGCGCCAGTCACTTGTTCGTCTCGTCTCGACTCGAGTCGTCTGCTCGCTTCCTACACGCATTCATTACATGCTGTTATTTTTGTTGTGTTTTTGCTGCTGCTCTTGTTCTATTTTGTATCTGGCCACTTGTATCTTGTATTGTAGTTATCTGCAATTGTAGCGGCAGCTCCTCCGCTTTCACACACACACATGCGCCCCATGGCCAATTGTCTGCATCTACTGCTGCTGCTGCTGCTGCTTCAGTCTTTGCCATGTGAAACTCAGTCATTAATTTGGACGCCGTTTTACTTTGAGCCAGCAGCAGAGAGAACGTGGCATGCAGCAAGCGCTTAGATTTTCTTCTACTCATATTTTGCATGCTGCTCTGTTCTTGCTGCATTTCCATTTGCTGCCATTTCCTTTTGTCTTGCACAATTATGCATTATCTCTTGCATCTGAAGACTTTGCTGTCGCGCTTGAAGCTTTGCATTTAATTACTGTGCACATTTCTCAAATTTCACTGGGGGCTGTCCCGTTGTCATCCTCCTGCTCTCAGGTGTCGTCGCACACACATACACACATAGACACACATTATCATTATCGTGCCGAGCACCAACATTATGCTCATTATATATTTCACTTTGCATGATATTCTCTCTCTCTCTCTCTCTCCCCTCACTCTCTATCTCGCACTCACAACTTTACATTACAGAAAATACTCCACTCTTTCTCCAGCTTGGGAAAGTTCTGCTGCTGACATCGTTTTGTGATTTTTATGGCAAGCTATTTGATAAACGTTTGTGAATGGAACGAGTGGAAGGTGTGTTAAATAATGATTTTCTTCAATCATTAAAAAAACCACAGCTCAGATCTACACAAGTCTTTAGGACTCAATGAGAACTAATAACCATGCCAAATCATAAATTTTTGCTTTGTAAACTCAAGAAAACTTTCATGAAGGGTATTAACGATGGCTGCTAAGACCCAACAAAAAGTGGGATCAATGTCAGCTTTACTTTGCTGCAAGCAAGTTGGCAAATAAATAGCCAACGTGAATAGCCCAATAACAAAAATTGCGAGAAATCTTTTTAGCATATTTTTGTGTGGTAATTACCAAAAAACGAGTTGTGTTCCAAAATTCACGAAATGGCGATTCAGTTAACGTGAAGCGTAAACGGATTGGATGACACGGCGAAGCTATGGCAATACGATTTGCTGATAGATCACTTTTCGCTTAAATCCAGCCAATTACCTGGCCAGTTTAAACTGTTTTTTCCACTTTTAATTATGCGCAACTTGAGCAACTCGAATTGCAGCTGGCAGCAAAGTGCAGTCGCTGCTGGTGGCAAAATGTCCATGTCAAGACAAAGACAACGTTGAGTTGCAGGTGCAACGGCAGCAGCGGTAAAAAGCCATAAAGAGGCTACGCCAAAAGGGGCCGAGAAGCTGCACATGCAAAGTGCCTTAGCTGGTTGCATTTTGTGTGTGCCTTAATTAATTTTGATTGCAGCCAACAACAGCCAGAGCAACCAGATAGATGCAAACCTCAGCGGAAATGTTCATCACACGCCGCACGCTGCAAGAAGCCTTAGAAGAAATGCAGAGTGCTGGCTGGACTGGTAGACACCCTGTACCTAGCTGTAGTTCTTTTTGCCAAGCTGGCTTGGAAAATTCCTTTTTGTATATCTTCTCTGTTTATGCTCGGATCATTGTGCTCGACAGTCATCTACCCTTTCTCAGCCATTTGAATGCGTGCAGGGTATAAAAGTATATGCTAAACGCCTGCTGCTGCACGGCTAGCTAATTAATTGAATTAAATGAAAGGCCGCCAGAGCGCTGAGTGGATTTCCCAGCCCGCATCGGATGCACTCTTGTACTCTGCTATTAGAGGCCACTCGATGCTCTCCACTCGCATGCAAATGAGCCCACTTGCAGGCAGAATGCAGGCCGCAATGCAATTTGGCTTTAATGACCACAAATCACTGAGAGTTACCCTAATAGAATTATTAACTCCCAAATAGTGATAAATATGTTTGTTGCAACTGCTAAAGTGGCATCACGATTTAAGCAACATTTGTCTAAATAGATGTCCATAATTTTGGCCAGAATGTCACATCACATTCGCATTTGTTCGATATGACAAACGTCAAGTCACCGCCCTCCCCCGCCCACATACCCCACTTGCCCTAAGTCTATTTATGGGCATAAGCCGCAATTGGAATGCCAACAGTTGCCCAAAAGCTTTGCCCCAGCTCTGACAATGCCTCAAGCGCTCGACGTGGATGTCGGTGCCTGTCCATATCCATATCGCTGGCAACGCATAATTCGTGCTTGGTACACAGTGCACAGTGGGCGTAGTTGCCAAAATAACCATGTACCCTACGAGACTTCCAACGCCGCCAACTATGTCAAAAGCCAACAGATTTTCGTTAATGATGAAATGTTGTACTCTTTTAATCATTGTTAAAATTGAGCAAAACTTGTCTACGTGTGTTTTTCTATGCATTTCTCAGGTCTTGCTCCACTGTGCATCGCTGGTTGCATTACTGCTTGCCCTGCTGGACACCAACATCACCTCGCTCTCAGTCCATTCCCTCTACACGAAAATGCTGAAATATTGTTCGCTAGCCAACACCTTCTACTACTCCCCTCCTACCCTCTGTAGTTGGGGGTGGGGATGAGAAGTCGCTGCTCGTGCTGGGTTTTTCAAAAATGGGTACTCATTTATTTACGTATTATTTAACCATTTTCAGGAGGTTGCTCTGCCCAGCTCTCAGTTAAGTCGGCAGAGCACGGGCTTAGTTTATAATTTAATTAGCTTTGTCGTCGCTGCCTTATCGTCCGAATCCAGCTCGTTAATTAAAGCGGAGCCCGGCTCCTAGCCGGCATTTACGTAACGAGTTCAAAGTGAAGCGGTCGCAGGTGGGTCACAGTTATCCTGGTCACACCGGGGTTAATTGCCTGCCCTTTTGCCAGTCACGAACTGAATTCGGCAATCAATTTCAATTTGAAAGACGCTCCCAGAGCCTTTCTAACAGGAAATCCGTTGCGCTGTCAGTGGCCACACAAATTTATTTGGGGTCAAGCAGCAAAAATGACCCACTAATTCATATGAATAGATTTCACAGCAACAATTTCGCACCTATGTCAAGACGCCAAGATGAGTCGTCAAATGTTTATGCAAATATATATTTTTAAACACGCTAAGCCAGACACAGAGACCCACAATTCAACGAACAGAATTTGGATAAAGGGCAGTGCAGAGGGGAGCTGCGCTTAATTAACAACCCAAATAAAAATTAAGCTGCAAATATATTCGCTTCGAGCTCGACGCAAACGTGTTCGTGATTTCAATAAACAACCATCGAGACAAAAGCCACCCAGCGACCTTGTCAAATTAGTGCCAAAAACGCCAAAAATGACAAAAATGCCAAAAGAGCGCGTCCCAAAAGACGCGACAAAAGAAAAAAATCATTTGGAGTTGGCTTTTGAAATGTCGCGTTTATAAAGCGTATAATAAAACGATCGTTTATTATGAAAAGCATAAAAAGTAGTTCAAAGTGGGCCCGAAATGTTGGCTAAAGCAAAAGTGAACTATTTAGTTTGTTGTAATTCGCAACATATTTTGACGGCGATTAGGCGAAGCACTATACAAAATTGAAAATGCTTCACAAAATATATTAAAAGAAAATATCAATATTATTGCAATCAACTGAAAAGCATTACGCTCTATTTTTCTTCTAAATATTTATATCTTGGAATTAATTTTCCGAAAAAACATTCAATAAATCTGTCAGCATAATTATCTATAACTTTAAATTAAACATTGTGAACATTGTGTGTGACAAATTGATATTTAGTTGCCCATCACATTACTTTATAAACGAGCGACAACTCTTAAGTGATCCAATAAATTGATGCTCTGAAGGCCTCCCGCTGCTTGCAGTGGCCCCCAAAATTAACTCCACCTGAGCTAATTGACAACACTTAACTTCTAGTGGGGGCACACGAGCCAAATGAGTTCATTTTGGTAACTTTAGGAAGCCATTAGAGCCACATTTAGTTCTACGAGTCAGCCGAGCGTAAGCTGTACAAATAGCCAATTGTGTGGCCGGGCAGCGTCTCCTTTTCAGTTTCCCCAAAGACAAACAAAAGACGAAATGCTAATTCTAAAGTCACACACACACAAATCAATGGCTAAAAGAACCTTCAGTTCTCACTGTTTGCATGTCAACTGGCTGGAAATCTTCAGCAGCTGAATGCTAATTGAAACTGGCTAAAGAACTTGACGCCTAGCCTGATCTATGACCTGAGAGCGTGAGCGAGGCATAATCATGTCATAATGACGGAATATGTGAAGCTAGCTTTCTGATTAACAAACGGGCTACAAGCTATTACCTATTAACTATTAACTAGACCAAATGCCGGCAGATAATAGCTAACATTAGGCTGCCCTTTGGTAGTGAAAGTTACACTGAAAGAAAAAACGCAGTAAAGAACATAATCCAGTAAAGATCAAATCTTTTTAGCCAGTAAATGAAATGAAATGCTTTATTAAATCTAATAAAGAACTTCGTTTTAAAACTTATATTTTAAGAAAAATCAAAATAGTTTTTGATGCAAAACGTAACGAATTGGAACCTACTCATGGAACTGTTGTTTAATTTTTGTTCGAGTGCACCAAATGGAGTTTATCACCTGAACTAATCAAGTTAATAACCGCTTTTCTAACCAATAGGTATATAATGCTATCAAGCCAAATGAGAAGAGTCACTCGTGGCTGTTGCATGTCTGGGCCATATTAGACACAGGAAATGTTTCGGCCATGAAAGTGTCGAAACACAGCATGGGGATAGTTTATTCTAAGCCCATTCGAAAGGTCATTAACTCTGGGCCCCCCAGTAATAGCCGAATAGTGAGCGCATTGCATTCTATAGAGACATTAACAAATTGGACATCGTAAAGTGCGGTCTCATGTTTCAACGAAACCTAACAAAAAATTAAAAAGACCCTCCGCCAGCCCCTTGGCAATTTCAGCAAACAAAGGCGAATGGATTTTATGCTTTTTACTCGAACTTTTGTTTGCCATTTGGCAACGTTTTTAACGTGTTCTGCGCATTTTAATAAATGAGCCATATTTATTTAAGCCAACCCACAATTTGGCTGGCTTAATTCCGCGAAATTGTTGAAAAACATCCGTTTATTTACCTGAAAGAGATAGAAAATATGGCAATTAGTAAAAATAAAGTCTCAAGTGTTTTACAATAAATAGAATAACTTGATTTATTTGCCTATATCCAGAAATGGAAGCCGATATTCAAGTAACAACAGAAACGAGGTAAAGCTTTTAAAATCGCCATTAATAAAAATATACATATATATTCATTCCAATATTTAACAAAGCTCCGATTTTCGAAGCTTTATAGAATCATGTTCTTTAAGCTGAGACAATATATATATATCGATTATTATTGATTCGCGTCAAAGTAAATGCTAGAATGGACTCTTTTCTGTAAATCTTAGGTGAAATATATTAGAATATACTCAAATCTAATTTATATTTGCAAATTTACCGACAAGTGCCGATAATATCAAATTAAGTGTCGATTAAAGTTCTTCATTTAGCAATTGATAATGAAATTTACATTTTTATCGCAACTTCAACTTTTGCAAAATGTAAACAAAAATCAACTCTGACCCGCCGGATTGAACCCAGCCTTCAGTGCTTCAGAGCCTGTGCCCGTTCCATTGGCTATTTAGAAATTGTGGCCGGAGCACGTACAGCACAGCAGAGCATGGCGAAGCAGAGCAAACAACGGCAGGGCAACTCGCCAAATCCTCCACATCAGGCTGCCCCCTGGCAACCCTTTCCCTTTGGCTGGGCTCGGCGGCATCCACAGACACCCACAATTACAGAAGACTCGTTTCCATGGCAGGGTCGTCTGTTTATACAGGCGCTGTGCATTCTCATGCGCTATGCTAGATGCAATTGCCTTCCTTCCCTAACCAGCACCCGCCCGCTCTTTAACCCTGACTCGCTGCTTTACACGGCTTTTGTCGCCAGCCGTTTGCTTCGCTTGGTTTTTCCTGGCTGCCTGGTTGGGCTCTCTTTGCTCTCTGTTGGGCATGTTAATGACCCTTGCTGCCTAGAGATTTCTATTTACATATGTATTGTGAGTGTGTGTCTGTGTTTATTCGTGGGCCGCTGCCAGTGCCTGTCAAACTGTGCCCCTTTGGCAGAACGCCTCGTTTGCTGCCGCCTCGCGTCGCATTCAATTTAGGCGTCTGCGCATAAAATTGCATCGCCAGCCGCATCCACTGCAACAACAACAACAACAAAGTCAACCGCATTGGACGCCCCTTTTTTTTGCTAATTTATAAAAATAATACTTGCAGTGACTGCCCCGCCCCGCGGCTTCCCGCATCTCTGATGCGCGTGTGAAACAGCATTAAGAGTTCGCTCAGCTCAGATCGGTTCGGCTCGGTTCAGCTTCATTTTGCCTATGAACTTGACATAGCCACCAGACACGGACGCGGCCAGTGGGTCGACTCAAAGTTGTTGGCCAACAAACACATTCGAGCCATTCCGAATAACTTGTATCTCGAGTGGCCTGCTGCGATTTCATAACTCAAGCTCTGATGGAGCGATATCTGACGCTAAAAAAGTGCTTCAAATACAACTTTTTTTATATTGTTGTTGCAACCACAAACAGCAATCAAGACGAGCCAGAGTGCAAACGACTGAAAGATACCCTGTAAGTGGACAGAAGTATCCAAAAAGTAGACAATTCTGAATGTGTCTTTATTTTACTGCATATTTATAACAAACTTGATATTTCTACCTATTGTCATCCTCGACCAAGCAATATTTAGAGGCGTTTGCTTTGGAAAACCAGCGTTCCAAATGTGAATATACCCTGTTGAAACGAGCTTAGGGTACATAACAAGGTAGACCCGTGCAGCAAACAACATTTGCAACTGTCAGACTTCATGTCGACACTTCAGACTTTGGGCATCCGTCGCTGCACTTCGCTTGTTAATCTCTCTCTCTCTCTCTCTCTCTCTGTCTTTTTCTCCGGAGCCTGGCGTGGGCGATGGCCTGACTGCATCCAAGCAATACGTGGCGCAAACAAAGTGAGTTGTAAATGAGCCCACACATGGCTAAACTTGAGCGAGTTTCATAGCTTTGGCATCTGCAGCATGCATTGCTCAACCAGATTCAGTTCCAGATACAGATACAGATTCAGACTCCAGCTCCGACTCCAACTCCGACTCCGGCTCAGAGACAACTTCACACGCAAATTTCTGCTTTTGCTCTACCCGCTGCAACAACAACAAGGATTTTCAACAAGGCAGCTGGCGTGTTAATTGGAAAATTCATTTGGCTCTGACAATTATTATGGTCATATACATATACTCCTGCAGCCTGTTCAATTTGTTGATTGCTGATTGCTCGATCTATTCGATGATGTCTGGCACAAACAACACTGAGACACATTTACAATCACATATTTAATGAGTGCTGTGCTGCCTAAAAACTGATTGAAGTTGGGTATGCAAGTCGGCAAAGGTAAAGATGCTCTTGACGAGCTGTCATGCCAGTTGCCTTGCAAGACACTCTGCATGACTTGTCAGCAATTATGTCTTTTCTCATGACATGTCGTCATAGTAACTGATTTTCATCAGGTTAGTTAGTCTCCTCTGAGCCCTAAATCTCTCACACACACACACACACACGTGTTAGGCTTTCACAGCTAGCCTTAAACTTCATTCGGTCTATTCAAAGCTCACCAATACGCAGGCAGTTAAGTAGATTTGCTGTAGGCACTGCATTCAGCCTGGAAACCCGGTTCTTTCTCACACCAGGTTAAAGGCCTTTCCCATTTCACGCATTTTAAAGAACCTGCCAGGCATTTAAGCCACTCATATAATTATTTTCCAGCTCTTTTTCCCCTCATCAGCGACTGCATTTTATGTTTTAGTGCCTTCACTTGAGGCAACTTTTCAAAAATAAAAAATAAATTAATAAAATAAAATAAATGTATTGCTTTTCGCCCAACTTTGTTGCAGCAGTTTTCAAGCATTCAAGCATTCAAGCTGTGTGCAACATTTTTGGCCTGTCAATTTTAATTAATGCAAATTGAAACGCACACACACACACATACACAAACATGTGTGTGTATAGAGACACACTCCCCTACACAGGCAATCACACATCGTTGTAAATTTGCCTTATCGACATAATTATGCAATTCCGACAATTGAATGAAGTCGGAGCGAGTGTCTGTTCGGGTTAATGTTAGTTAGTGTCAAAATTAAATATATACATATATTGCATAATCATAATACACATCGGCGTGTTTAAATGCAGCCGCTGCATTCAATTAGTGCAATTTGGAATTTAATTAAATCAGCTGAAATCCTTTTTGCATGCCAGTTTAATTAGTTACATATTTGTGCAATGCAATTAGACGACAAAATCGATTGCATAAGCTCAACCAGCTACAAAATGGACAACTAATTTCTAACAATAATAATAAAATAATAAAAAACACTCAAAATCCCCTGATCAGGGCCGTCAATCAGCGATCCACTTGTTGTCGCGAGCGGGCGGGGTAGGATTACTCGAAAGAAAACATAAAGAAAAAGCGCAGCTCAAACATAAATAACTTAAATGAATTTCAATATAAAACGAAATGTAAATGCTGAGCCATCAAAGCCCACAAAAACGCAACCAGCTGAGCCCAAAGACAGAAGAGGAAACAACACACAGATGCAGATACAAATACAGGTGCAGGTACAGATACAGATATAAATTCGGATTCAGATACAATTTGTGATGCGAACAATACTCGAATAAAGCGAAAACGAAACCAAAACGTAACGAAAACGAAAAATGTCGCTTTAAGCTGGAAAATCTGGGAACAGCAACAAAAAATGCGCAATATGCAAAAGTCTCTAAAAAAATAAACGTACACAAAAGAAACGAAACGAAAGCAGGAAAATGCGGCAGGTGAGGTAAGGAGAAGTGAGGTGAGGTAAGAAGCAACAGCCAGTAGCTGCAGCCAGCTGAAAACAAAGCGAGAGAGTTAGGAAAACCGAGGGGCGACGGGCAAAGGAGGAAATCAATAAAAGCTAAATAAAAAGCACAATAAATCATAAAAATTACTTACTCCGCATGAGAAATGAATTGGGAATTTTTAGAAGAGCGTGTGAGAAACGAAAGCGAACGATCGAACGAATGGGTTAGAAGAGAACCCAACCTAAAAGAAGTGCAGATACAGAGGAAACGGCCCGAACAGTGAGTAATGTGAAAACAAAGTGAGAGAAAAGACAATGAGATAATGAGGCTATGAATAAAGGTATTTATGTGCAGGCCAGCCAACAAAAAAATAAAGGCAAATATTTCGAAGAAGCAGCAGGTAACAAATCCCCCCAACTGCATGTAGAGTATAAATTGTTAGGATGAATAAGCGAATGAGGACACAGAAATATTAGCATGGGCTGCTGCAGATCTAAAGATTCAAAAGTTATCATTTAAGAGGCCTAAAAGACACTTCCAATACACAAGACACAAATATATTGGAATATTTCAAAAACAAGAAGAGCCAAAAACTTTATACTCAAATCAATTTAAGTGTTTAAATTTCAAATAAAACATTAAGCAAAAAATATTGATAGCAAATACTTTAAATTTCACACAGCCCACAAAAATTGCCAATCACCCAATTTGTGGCTTTCGTTTCAACAAAATTTGAATTCAATTAAAAAAAATTCCCAACTTGGCAAATTGATAATGTGAGATCGTTATGTAGAAATGTTTATAATATGCATTGCGACAATGGGGCGACCTTTTTCTGGTTCGTTCAACTTCAGCGTGGCAGACAAATTGAATTCGGCTGCAGACATGTGTCTCTGCATCAATTGGAGCACACACACTCCACACACAGACACCATTAACTAGCAGAAGGTGTTGTCGTAAAACGGTGTGCTAACGGTACTCGGACATGTAAGCGAGGCGCTAAGCGCCAAACGTTCTTCTAATGGCCCAAAAGAACACATTACGCACATTACGTGCAAAGAGACGAAGCACTCAAAATTGATTCCAAACAGAATGTTGCCCCCTTCGACAGACATCAGATTCGTGCCAAAAAAAAAACGTGGAAAACCGGTTACCGACCTTTAGGAAAGTTGTTTTTTTGAAGCCCAACACAAGTTGTCTGTTGTTGTTTTTATTTTTTTCTTACGACTTTTACGCGTTAATTGTTTTGATTAAAGATTCGTGGCGAACGCAATTTGAGCATTGAACTTGTTTTTTTTTTTCGAATGTTTCACACATGCTGAGGGCAACCCTGTCGGCGGGCTGACAGAAAGCTGCCTGCTATGCGCGCAACGCATTTAGTTTTGTGTACATGTCTAATCAATCAATTCGCTAGATATATGAAAACACAAAAATATTAAATAATTACTTATTGGACATTAATTGTCGACATTTTATTTGGCAACAACAACAGCTCAGCCATTAAATGGGAATGCACAAAAATGGAGGTACGAAAATTTGTGCAACGCCTACGAGCGAGCTACCAAAAAAGAAATCAATAAAAGGCCAAGCCGTCTCTCATTTATGGCCAAAACAAAATTAAGCTGAAGTTTCTTACTCGCATGCGATTTATACACATGTACACTCAGAGAAACAACCAACAACTTTTACTTAAGTCAAATGTTAACTTTGTCAAAATTTACCCAAAACGAAGTTTTTATTTTGGGAGCTTTTGAGAATTAAGCCTATTTTCAGTATGCTAATTCCGCAAGCAAGTATTTTATGCCTAGGAATATTAAAAAATGAAGTACACTTAAAATCTTAAGAGCAAATCTAGAATTTATAATTGTGTTTTTCTTTGAGTGTACTTGCATTACGTTTATTTATTTTGCAAGTGGTTTTTGTTGAGCTCGTGTTTCGTTTTATTTTTGCATTTGTCAACTGAATTGAAGTGCACAGCTTTTTTTTTTTTTGTTGAAATATTTATTTAGTTTATGTTTGGTTTTTAGTGCTTGCCTTTCAATTTCGTTGAACATTTTTTTTTTTCGCCGACATTGTGGATCTGGAAAATTGAAGCTCAGCTAGGCGCCTGGCTGGAAAAATATATATACACATGTACAGACATTCATCAATATTTGGTTGTCGCCCAGACTCGTGCGGCTTTTCGATTTCATTTTCAAGGGGCTTGTAGAAAACGGCGGCCATTTTGAAATGCTGAGTGCCTCAAAGTGAGGCAGCCACAAAAAATAAATATATTTATATACATATTTATATATATATATGTGTGTGTGTGCGTGCTTACATATGTTGAATATAGACACAACACACGTGCGAGGGCAGGTCAAGTTATGTTCGTGTTCAGAATGCTCAGCCTTTATAATGGGCGCACACAATTGCTTGGAATTTGTAAATTTATGTTAATTTCTAATAACTAACAAGTGGCAACAAGTTTGAGGAGCAATTAGAAGGAGCAACAGGTATCCAATGAACGTCTAGAGAGTTCTTTAAAAGTGGAATGCAAGAAGATAAGCTGGAAAACAAAGAAATTCCAGCTTTCATCCAGCAATCATCAGTCAATCAGTCAGAGCAAAAAGTATTACATAAAAAAAGCAAAAATACCAATTAGAGCTGAAAATTAACTAATATGCACAATCATTTATTTGCTTTATTCTGGTTACTCAGAGAACTGCCCTCATATCTATCTATACCAAACTCAAGCTAAGGTTTCTCTGATGCCTTTTATTGTATGCCACGCCGCTTAGGCAAATATTTGAGGCCTGTTTCAACAGCAGGCAACGACAATGATGATGATGTTGATGTTGATGATGATGATGATGATGATGAGACGACGCCAGCGTCACCTCTGTGGGACCCGCTGTTCATTCATTTGCGCTTTTGTTTGATGATTTTGACGCACTTGTCTTTGGCTCTGAGTGCGATTTTTGTTGCTGTTGGTAAGACAAATATCACACACACACACAGACACACGCACACACGCATATATATGCACATATATACATTTGTGCATATAAATATATATTTGTATTAGAACCCAAAATGTGTTTCTGAACTTATCAAAAGAGTTTTATTCAAAAGAGCATTAGACAATTGTTTTATTGTTGTTTTATTTATTTCATTTCATGCTATTTTATTTAAGATAGATAACCGGATGTTTTGATAGATAAAATAGCTCCTTGGAGGCAGCTCACATAGTGCATAATCAGACCGCTTGCTGAAAGCCAAAGGCCTAAACAAGCAGCCTTGTTAGAGCCCAAAAGATACAACACAAAACACACACACACACATACAACATCAATAGGAATACAACACGTAATTATGTGCGCGTAAGTGCCTAAAAGTATCTTTTTTTCTTCTGTATTTGTATCTACGTGTGTGCATCTGTATCTGATTACGTATGTATGCTGCCTGCTGGCTGTCGGCCGGGCTCAAATTGCCAGGGCCCATAAGCAGCCAACGGCGTGATTTGCATTTTAATGCGAGTGTGTGCGAGTGTGTGCGAGTGTGTGTTTGTAAGTGTGTGCACAAATATGCCCCGTGGTTCTGCTCTACGCGCAGTTGCCCAGCGTCTTCTGCGCCTCTGGGAAGCTTATGACCCTGGCCAACTGCCCAGAGACAATTTTGTGGACGCAGTAAAAATAAAACAAAAAAGGAAGGCTGGTTCGATAGAAATTCCTTACGGACTTCACAATTTAAACCAACATTTCATTTTAAGTACACAATTTATCAAAAATATAACAACAATTTCCCATTCACGTAACGGTGCGTAATTTTTTTGCAGTGTATCGCACATGTGCTCCAACACGTTGAGACTTGCTCAATGTTATTTGGAATTTATGACAATGTGGGCACAACAACAGTTGTAATAAATGTGGTTTTCATAATTTGCCACAAAAAGCCAAAACCCAAAGCCAAAGCCAAACACAAATTCTGAATCCAATTCGATCTCGATGAACGAAATTTTGTTAAATGAGCTGCAAAATAATTGCCAGAGACTTGTTCACAGTTCGACAATCATTGAGCGACAGCCAGAGGGAGGACATAAAACAAAAAGCTACCAACACAACCCCCTTCCATCCACCAGCCCCACTGTTACATACCCTGAGGCCCCCCGCCTGCTGCCCCGCCCCACTTGCTGTTTATTGGGATTATTATCATGCAGCTGCGAATTACGCAATTTGCTGTTTAATTTTGTGAAAATATTTGTGCTCCGGCGGCTTAGAAGTTGTCTTTTAATTAAAATTCTGGCTGCCCCTGCCCCCTCATTAGTCCGGCCACTGATTGATTACAGTTAACTTGGCTAACTGTTGTTTAACTGCTGCCAGCTTTTTATAACCGAGCAACGCCTCAGAATCTGACACGCCCTTTAAATATTCTATTAACTTCGTTTTAGTGTGAGGCCAAACGAGTTTTCTATTTCTATTTCTCTTTCTATTTAGTGTTGGTTTTCTTCAGCTTCTTCTTGTTCCAGCTACAATCTGCAATCTTCAATCTGGCGAGTTGTTGGCAATGCGGAAGCTCCCTAACACTTATTAAATTTCATGCCTTCGCCCGCCTTGGCCCATTATCTTGGCCCATTCCATCAGACCCGTTTGTGCGGCTCTCATGGCTCTTGATTGTTACATCGCTTGATTGATTGATTGATTGTCGCCCAGTTTGTCGCAAAAGCAGCGCGAAAATGAGTTTAAGCCATCTTCTCCGTTGTTCCCTTCTCCTTCATTTAAAACGATTGCTAACGATATTTTGTACACAGTAAAAAATTGTTGGTTTTAAATTAAAATTATGTCGTTCCCTACTTTAAATAAATTCGTGTATATGGATATGTAACTGACTTTATAAAGAATATGGTAAAAAAAACAAAATGTAATTCTCATTGTTAATTTAAGCAAAATATATTTCAAAATGAAAATTCTTCTGGGCGAAGACTGAAATTCAATTGAATTCCAAAAGCAATCTACATTTAATTTATAGCCTAATTCCATTATTAACATTTCTTAAATTTTTTACGAATGTGAAATATGTTTTTTGTTTTTTCACATTTGCAAAAAAGCAAATCTAATCAATCCGATCAGCTGTTTATTTCACGAAGCGTTTTTTTTGCGATTCACATGTTACCTGCCAATGGAATCGCAGAATGTGAATGTTTGTAAATGTAATATATTTTGAGTACAGTGCATAAGCCGCATGCTGTGAGTTTTTTTGTTTTATTTTTTTTTGTTTTCAGATTCTATTTTCGTTCTTTATGTACGCCGTTTTCACTCTTTTGTTGAACCCTGTTAGTCATGGTTAGCTTACTCCATTTCTAGATCCCACTCTGTGCCAATTTCTTAGACAAATGCCACGCAGCTGTCTTATGAAATATTTAAGCCAATTTTTGTTTTTTTTTTTTCCTTTAGCCCTGGTATTATTCGCTGAGCTGCTTTTGGTCGCGGTGTTCCATCAAAAATTCATTATGATTTGTTTGTTTTTGTTTCTATTGCGGGGACAATATTTAGCTGGCGTCATTAGTTTTAAGTGGTTTTGTTTGATCCCTCGTTGATCCATCATCAATTTTGCAAGCATCCTTCTTGAATACCCTACAAAAACAGCTCTCTTCCTCGCTCCGTCTCCAGCTGGCCACGCCCTATATCAAATAAAAAATTCCTATGCATAGCGCGCTTCGCTTTCATTTTGGCCATCGATTGTATTTTCCATTTCATTTAATTTCTGTGAGCTTTTTTTTTTTTTGGTTTGGTCATAAAAGTGGCATTTGGTATTAATTCAGTGTCATTTGGTTTCTTTTCTGTTTTACTTTCTAAACAAAACAAAAAGCAAATTGAATGCTTTTTGCCGGGAAAATTCATCACCAAGTTTTATATAATTTATTTAGCTTTTTTTGTGCCTCTGCATGTTGTTTTTTTTTTGTTTCTCGCTTGATTTAGCCACATTTTGTTGCCATTTTCTTGAGTTGGCTTTCTTCAGGGCTTAATTCAAGCGCACTTTGTGCTCTTCACAGCGCAGCAATTAGCGTAATTTAGTTGCACTTAGCCAGCGGAAATAAAAATAAAACTTTTTCTGCGTCCCCGACGTTTTGTCGGGTTGAAGAGGAGGGGGGCAAAAACATTGCAAGTGCTTTGAAAATATTATTATAATCGTTTCTCTTGTGGTCTGCTGCTGCTGTAGCTTGTGGTTGGCGGTTTTTTTTTTTCTTTGCTCGTTGGAAATTTCTTCAATACACGTACGTAAAAAAACGCTAATTTAATTATTAATTATTGTTTTCATATTTATTTCATTTAATTTTCAGCACAGCTACACCAAAACTTTTTCATTTCTTATATTAAATTGCCCGCATTTGGCTTGCAGCACACTTTAATTGAATCTCCAACTATTAAGTCCGTCCTCAGCTAGTGTCTTGGCCAAACTTTTGGTGAGCCCAGCTAAGCCAAGTTGGCCAGAGTTTGGCAGGATTTCGCTTAAAGGCGCTGCCACGCCCTACTCGATTGCGTGCTTCAGCTCCTAATGAGCCGCCCCACACTACCTCGAGGCGTCCGCATCTTATTTGGAGCAAACTTTATTGGATTTACACTTGAAGAAAAAAGCGGCTCTTAATTATTGTAAGACTAAGACTAAGAATAAAATTGATAGCATTTTAGGCACAGCTTGTTTCGCGGGGGTTCGAGGTTCTTACTTGGGGTTTTCTCCGGCTGCATTTGGACCTTTGATTCGACGTTATTTGATTTACATAGACAAAAAAAGCTGCTCTGTTGCGAGTGAGCTCAAACTTTCTGCTTGGGTTTTTTTGCGAGTGCATTTGGTCCTCTTTTTTGGCCAAAATTGCGTGTCGTTCGCCGTTAAGTTTCCCTTTCGAGTTATGCAAATGAAAATGTTGATTTGCCCGCACATTTCACCTGCCTTTTAATGGGCCACATAATGTGTAATATTTGTTGTTCCTTTCGTAATATCAGTAATGCCAATTGATTCGCTATTAATTATTCTGGCTCGCAACATTTTGGGCATAAATTCAAGCCCCAATTTTAATGTTGCCCTTATCGAGTTCCCGCCTCGTTTTATTAAAACTCGTTGGGAAAAACTCCCAAATAAATTAAATAAATAAACAAGTTTAAAGTATGCACAAGGGCCAGCCGCAAATTTTTGCATGCACATTTTTGCCAGCAACTTTTTGATAAAGTAACAGAAATAAATAATTTGCACATGAAAAATTCCACAACAGTTCAGCTCTGGATACTGTGATCCGCCCCCGCGTACAGCTATACGATTTATCAACAAATACACAGAATACTTCAATACATGCACATCAAAATATAAACAGTATATGCATTCCGAAATGCAAAAGTAAAACCCCAGCACGATAAGGATTTCCTTCAATGGAAGTAACCGTGCCACAAGCAGCTTATCGAAACACTCTGAATCATTCAGTGCAGCCGATAGCTGGCCTACAATTCTGTACAAAACAATAATAAAACTATGTCACACAAGGCGTTTGTATCTAAGAAGAATATTCTAGTCAAGAGTGCGGCAAAAAAATATACTTTAGCCTTTTAGAATCTATTAACGCCTACTTGATGTCATGAAAATCGCATAGAAAGGCGATGAGTCAATGAGAGAGAGAGAGAGAGCGCGCACTAGTAAGTATATAAATGAGTGTAAGTGAACAAAATAAGAGCGAAAAGTGTGAAATAGACTGAGAAAATTAGTGAATAGGTGAATGATACCCTACATTATTTTCTTAGATTTTAATCTCTGAGAACATGTCCTTTGAATGGACGGACAGAAAGATCGACAGACAATATATTGCCTTAAGTTTCATACATAAATGTACTGTACCTTTTATAACCCTTGCTAAAAAAGTACGGGGTATAAGAATCAGCTAACAAAAATGCCGGCGGGCTGCAACAAAAGGCTGTTAATATAATAGCCGCAACTTCTGTTGACTTTAATATTAGATAAGTTAAGGCAAAACAGTTGGCAATACTCGCTTTCTACAGCTGTATACTATGCGGATATCAATTGGTTAAATTATAAGAAATGCATATGGCATAACAACGATATAAATTATGGAATTGGAACTGGATTTGAAGCATCTGCGAAGGTCGTTTCTTCTTGCTGCTTTGTGCAACAATGCGATGCGTAGTTGCGATTTTCCTCATCTCTAGCTGGCATTAATAATGCAAAAGCTTCATTCTGTGCATCATTTGTGCGGTATACACTTGCCACGCCCACACATTACGCCCGCATTTCATATTTGCAAACCGAGGACCTGCTATGTTTATTATTATCCTTGTGCCAGATTGATTTTAATACCTCGCACTTGCAGTTTGTAAGAGTTACGTTGGCTGCGACTTGTAAATAGAAGAGGGTATCTGACAATATATCTGACTTTCAGTGACATTATTAGAGCCTTCGGCTAGGAAGGCAGGTGTTAGTAGAAGAAATGGTGTTCTTAATTAAATATTAAAAATAATCTTAATTTACTATATTATTTAAGAAAATACAATAAATAGGCAAAAAGAGAAGGATCTTGTTTGATGTCTAGCCAACTCAAAAGACCCACTCAATTATCGGAGCAGGGTATATTACAGGCGGTCTTAGCTTGTATTAGCAGAGCCCTAGTAGCTGTTGTTAGTTTAGTTGTTCTTGTTGCTGCATATTATGTTCGTTTTTCTTTTTCTTTTTTTTTTCACATGCTTCCCTTATTGATTTTTCTTTTTGCGTTGGCAAAGCGCACAAAGAGGAAGCAAAAGGAAAAGCAAAACAAAAGAAAATGTTTTTTAATTGCATTATGCAGGGCGCATTGAAATCACAGGCATTTCCCTGCAAAAGCAGTGGCAAGAGGCGAGGGGCGACAAGTTAATTTCATTTGCTGCGTCGGGCAGGATGCATGTGGGCAACTGGATCAGACTGCGGGGCGGAGGGCGGAGGATGGGCTCTGTGGTTGGAGGCCTCGGCATTGTGGACTTAATAGTTCGAACTTTGATTTGTACTCAGCGAGAGCGAAGAGAGACAGAGAGAGGGGGAGGGAGAGAGAAAGGAACCTGATGGCTTTTCACATTTCCGTTCATTTTCATTTGTATTGTTTCAGGCCTTTACTTGAGTGCGTGTGTGTGAGAGAGACAGAAATTAGTTCAAGGATTTGCCAACGTTTTTGGGATATAATATAATTGCCTTTTATTGCACGCACAATAGCAAAGCCGGCTCAAATCAAAGCCGAAATTTTTAGCCTGAAAGGCGCCCAGTGCCGAGCAGCTTTCCGCCAAGAGTTGGCTAACAGAGTAGCCGAGAGTGTCGGCTAGAAGATATCCTGGAGGTGTCATCCTCAAGAAAGTTTATGCTTTATGGATTGGAGGATGCCTGTTTCCTTCCCAATTGCAATATACAAAGATTATACGAGAGAATGCTCCCCTTTAACATATCCTTTAAACGAATTGCCACTTTTATCTGCTCCTTTATTCGCCGGTTCATAAATCAGCTCTTCTTTCTGCGTGAGCATCATCAATTTGAAGCGCTTAAGGGTGCTCGCAGATGAGGATGGCCAGGTGGCAACGGGGGAAAGCCTAAGACCGCCCGCACGCCCGCAGCTCCAGCTTAACCACACGGAACATAAATCGTTGACGCGGCACGTGGCCCGTTCTTATCGCGGCTATCAGTGCAGCAGCTGGCAACAGGCCGCATCTCAAGGAACTATTAACAAATGGCAGGCCAATAAACTAAGGGCTCGGACAGTTCAATTAACTTGCAGCGCGGCAGGATTTATGCGGACTGCGCAATGCGAAACTACTTCAAGGATTTGCCCGAAAAATGCTAATCATCTGCTCATTAAATGCGCATCAGGCCGCGCTGTTCGTTCCAGCTCGTGTTAATGGCAAGACACCAGCCACGCCCACTCCAAGCCGAGGCCCTTGGCCCGGACCCGGGCCCGGGCCACAGCTGTTGAAAGTTGGCTGTTGGCTGAAAGCTGAGCAAAAATTTGGCACACAGCAAATGTGGGCGGGGCGGGGCAAGCGGCGAAGGCAGGCGGAAGGACAACTGAGGGACGTTCGTTGGGCTCTGCCCTTGGCTGAGCGTGCACAGTGAGCCCTCGCCCTGTGCGAATATCTTAACTGACTGTGAAATGTGTCTCAGCCCGCCTCCTCCTGCTCCTCATACTCATTCCGGGCGTTCAGCTAGCAAAAGATACGGATACATAACTGAAAGGCGGCTGCTGTCAAATCATCTGTTTTAAATCGATTTTCCTTTTGTTTGTTGTTGTTTCTCCGGGCTACTGTGTGCCTGTGTGTGCCTGTGTGTGTGCGTGTGTATGCATTATGGGCGTTCTCTTTTTCCCTGATTTTATGAGTGAGAAAGTGGAAACTCGACCGAACAGAACTTTTCACTGCAAAACTTTTGTTTGCCTGATGAATGCAACGCGTTCAAGAATTTTACCTTTAGAAAATAAGAACTCAAGTCTGATTAGCCCGAAAGGCAACGGCCATACAAAAAAAAAAAAAAATGGGACAAAAGCAGCTGAAAGCCGCGAAAGAAACGCTCGGCAATAAAAAAAAAATGAAGTATAATAATGCGCAAAAAGGACATAACATTGAAAGATGGCAAAAGGAGGATTAAGCAGAGAAAAGAGGACATCAATAAGCGGAGTTGGGGAAACTGAGACTTTGGGTAGTTATTCCAATAAAGATTTTTGGGCAACATTTAAAATCAAACATATATACCGTTAAGCTGGCATCAAATCAAATCAAGCGATTTCAACGAATTCGCGTCGTCTAATTTAATTGACCCCAAAAAAGCAAAAAAACAAAAAGCAGCGCCGAAAATTGCCTCAAATTTGTAAGGCACAAAAATCAGCAGCAGAAGAAAAAAATAATCTGACCAACAAATTTGAGTCCAAATCGGAGATCTGCGACGGCCGCCTTCGGCCGACAATTTTTGCTCATTAAATAAATCAAAATTGCTGTTTTTGCGAGTTTTTTTTTTTGTTTTTGCAATTTAAATAATCAATTTATGCAAATTTGGTGAAATGATCAACAAAAATAATGTCAATTTGTGGGCCAAGCAAATGTGGCCCAAGAGTGGCTGTCAAACTGTGACAAACGCTTGACGTGTACTTCAAGCTCGACTAAAAAAAAAAAACTAAAAATAAATCCATGTCTTTGACAAATATGAACTATATGTTTATTATCTGATTCGAGCTGATCAAATCTGAGTCGCAGCTGTACGTGATGTGAAAAACAGACGAAAATTCCTCAACGAGGCTGCGACGAGCGTTACGTGACCCGAAGCACATGTGTACAAAATAGTTAATTGGCGTGTTAAAATCTGATAAAAAAAAAATAAATAAATAACTAAATACTAACTCATTTAAAAAGCCAAATATTACGAGCAAACACGCAAGATCTTCAATATCGCTGTTATGCAAGCCAAAAGGCGGGGGCGGATCGGGTGACGGGTTTCGGTGGAGGCCAAGATCAAAAACTGAAGACTCTTCAAACAATTTTGTATTTATAATTTGAGCTGAGCCCGAAATCGCAGCTGTTGACTTTACTTTCACATCGAGTAACTTTTATTTTTCGCTATCAACTAAAAGTGCCGATAAGAACAGCTTCTATCGCAATCTTTTTGTTTCTTTCTGCCGGCGCCATAAAATCACAAGGGAAGGTCACAACTGAAGAGCTATAAAAAGTTGTTGTAGTGTGCGATAAGACCGAAATTTTGGAGAGCATGAATGATCAGCACTGGCTTAATATAAATAATGGGAACACATTTAGTTTCCTGCACAGTTATTTTGCAAAGTGTTCCCAATTCTGTTAAAGTATATGGACATATTTAAATAAAAGAAAACTAAATCACAAGCGAAGGTCACAACTGAAGAACTGTAAAAAGTTGTTGTAGCGTGTATGGCAGAGCATGTACCCCAAATGGTAGAGCATGAATGTGGCTTTTAACGGGAATACATTATTTTAAAGTGTGCCCAATTCTGTTGCCTCCCACACATGTTATTCGTTCAAATGTATGGCATATTTTATATGATTTAGGCTCTGCTGGAATACTGACCTTTTGCTTAGTTGTTGTTTTTTTTTTTTGCACAGATTGTTTACTTTTTGCTTTGTGACGCTCTTCGTCGTGTTGTTATTGTTTTTGTTGTTGCTCTTTTTATCGGCATTCACAGATTTTCGTCAAGTTTTCGTTCTCGCCTGGTTGCTTTCTGGTATTTTTGGACCAAAAGGACGAAACAGTGTGCGTTCTCTCGCGCTCTCGCTCTCTCTCACTCTCTCGCTCGCTGGGCCGCGCACACTCAGCAAATTGATTTTCACTTTTGGCCAAGACTGTCAAAAAAAAGACAACACACACAGACACAAATACACTCGCAACGCAGGAATTTTCACTTGTGCCACTTTTTTCGCTTGTTTTGTTTTGCTATTATTGTCGTTGTCGTTGTTGTTGTTGTTGTTTTTGTTGTTGTTGGCTGCTGCTGCAGGGGAACAGGTTTGCTTTGGCTATACAAATACAAATTCTTCGCCTGGGCCAAAACCAAATCGCAGCAGCAACGGAGCCGGCAGCGGCAACAACAAATTCCAACTGCCTTTTCCTGCTGCCTTTTCTGCCTTGGACGCAAACACACAGAAACACAAGCGGACACACACGTACGCACACGCACACACTCTCACAGACACGCAGAGAGCAACCAAAATTCTTTCGCTGCCTTTGGATTTGCCTTCCTTTGCTTTGCTCTTGCTTTTGCTTTTGGTTTCTTGCTGCTGTTGTTGTTGTTGTTTTTGCTGCTGCAGAGGCGAACCGGTTTTTGTTTTTGCACTTCACTTTGTATTTGGCTTTGGCTGCTGCTGCTGCTGCTGCTGCATTTGACAACAATTCAAAAATTGATTAAAATTAATTCGCATTGCAATAAATGCGCTTCAGTTGCACTCGGCGGTTTTATTTTTCTTTATGGTTGGCATGCGTATGCACCGTTATTCCGTTTTAGATTTGCTTCCCTTTTGCACTCCCACACGAAAGCACTTCTTTTTCTATTGCCGTTTCACTCGCACTCGATTTTAAGCCGCTTACATAGCCGCGACACGTAGACACCAACCGTCTCAAATCGAAGTTGTTTGCAGACTGAAACATGCTCTTATATCGGCGGTTCAAAGTGCCACTGCTATACTCAGAATGGCATCACTTAACAGTGGCAGTAACAGCGTCACGTCGCTCTCTTAGACGCGCGCTCTATTTGTTATTAACAGTGTCGGAGCGAACATTTCTGCTAATCGGCTGTGGACTCTGAATGTCGTCGTTAAATTTAAAATCTTTTTTTTTTTGTTTTCAACGCATTAAAATATATTGTGCTCTATAGAATTTATTAAATACATTTATAAATGTGTTAAGCTAACTTGTATTTTATATATACAAAGGCACATTTACGAGGTGCCCGTTAAATATATTTAAATAACTACATTTCATTGAATTGATATCAAAATATGTTTTTGTTTTTATAAATGTGTCTTACAATAAATTAAACAATATTATATTTTAAAAAACAGTATTTACTGTTGTCGAGCAGTTTTCTGAGTTTTACTTATTATTTATTTACAAACAGTTGTCGAATAAAACTTTGAATTTGCCACTTTGCAAATGGAAAATAATTTTCTTTCGCTTTAATTCTAAATATTAAAATATTTTCTATGCCACTTTCGCTTCAAAAAATAGATTCTCTTTAGTATTGCTTTACCCATTTACCCATACTCTGCCACAATTGAAGGCTTTTCCCGAACCCAACTGGATTGAAGGAACACCAAGTACAGTGAAAACTCCCTTGTGCACACCTGAACTACATTTGGCCAATTTTTACAATTCAAATCTAATATCTTATATTTTAGGTTTGTGAAAAAGCACCTTAACAATTTGAAGAAAAATTATTTTCGTGCAAAAGATTTTTTAAAACAAGTTTAGACTCATCTATATTCATTATAATATTTTTTTTTTTTTGGTTAAAATTATTTTAATTGCAGCTAATTTTCTGGTACTTTGCTTAGCAACTTTTATCAGCGTGAGTAGACTTATCCTTAGCACACATAATAAAATGTTGTTAAAGATTTTCAACAAGACTTTGCCCTAAGCGTCCATACTAGGCAGCTTTCACTGTACTTGGCATTTTGTCGGCAATACAACACCTTTTCTCACCCATAGACTGAACCTGGCTGCCCTGCACTGTGATACTTCCGGGATTCTTCTAAATGCATCTACACAAATGCCGGAAGCCCCTGACTACGGATAACTGAAAGGAAGATTCGATCAGAAATTGCATGGCATATACAAAGTAAGCTCTGCAAGCACTTGGGTCTTACATGAGAGGATCGTTGGCAACACCCGCTGAGTGGTTGGGTGGTTCATCGTGTGGCTTTCGCTGTTGCTGTGTGCGTGCGGGTGTGTTAGAGCTCTTGCGTCGCCGCTTCCACCGGCAAAAATTCGACTGGGATCAGGCGAAAGGCTTCGCCCTCGAGTGTTACATTGCAGTAAACCTCGCCCGGCTGGGGCCTTGACTGCGGGCTTAGGGGCGTCACCAGTTGCAGCACGGTCACCGGACCCTCGAGAACCAGCGGCGGCTCTTTCTGTTGTGACTGTGGGGTGTTCTTTGGCTCTTGCGTTGGCTCTTTCATTTGTTCCGTTGGCGACGGCTTCATTTGCTTTTCCGCCGGCGTTTCAAAGTCCTCGTAGGCAAGCACAGTTAGATCATGGTTGGAAATATCCTCCGTCGGGTGCTTGTTGCCCATGTGCCGCTTCAGATGAGCCCGCGTGGCGGCCGCATAGGCGCAGCAGGGACAGGGAAATCTCTTCGAGCGCCAGTGCTCCTTGCCGTGCGTCTTCTCGTGGCGCTGCAGGTTGTACAGCCGTTTGCTGGAATACGAGCACTTCGGCACGGTGCAACGAAATACAATTGCGTATTTTTTCTTCTTAACGTCCTCCATGATTTAATTGTAGTTTACTGCAGTTAAATCTGCGTTAAATGCAATATTCGCGTAAATTAGTCTTTATTATGATGCGCAGCCGATAATGTTATCCGATAAACTGTGGCGGCCAGTCGATATATTGTCCACGCAACATTGCGACAGGCGCCACTATAAAATATAACCATTTTCTACCATTAAAAATTTAATTGATTCCAATTTTGTCATTAATTCAAATGAAAAATGTCAATTATGTTAGGATTAATTTCTTTGTCCATCATAATGTAATATAATTTTAATAATAATTTGCAGTTATGGTATATTGCTACGCTAAGAAAATACCAAATCACACCATACGCGCTTACATTCATAGTCTGTTAAAGTCTCTTGAGTGCTATTTATTTACATAAGCTATATTGCTCTGTCTCTCTACTTTTAGCTATTCTGTTTATGGCTACTTCTGTTAAGCTGTTAAGTACCATTGCTTGAATCTGAGTAGCTGTTAACATTTTTGCTACTACAACCGGCCGCTGTTATTAGCTCTTATATCCTGTTAGTCAATAAAATTCTAGAAATCAGTTTTACTCTTTTCTGCAGCGGGCACCTGCTATGTTGATAACAGTCTGGCAAAGTAAATAACTGTTAAGCTTGCCTTCGCCGCGCTTTTATTGGTCAGCGTCTCATTGAGCAAAAACATCAAAGTGGACACAGCACCCAACACCACCCCCTCGCCCTTTTTCCACATCTGACCAACAGGCGCTCTGCTACAACAAGTTCTGGGTCACTTGGGCACACTTTTCCATTACCTTTAAGGTTTTCCCCAGCAGCTGTCGCTTAACGGCGAAGGGGATGGGGGAGGGGCGGTACTTTGAATTGGTTTTTATTGTTGCGGCGACAAAAAAAAACAATTGGCAACATTTGTCGCCGACCCTTTGCCACATTTGTCACAAAGGCGGGACCGTTGTTGTTGTTGTTGTTGTTGTTGCTTTTCACATACATATAATTTCTTTGGGCGCCAAAATGCCCGTTATAACTGTTGTTTGAATTTTCTACTATTTTTAGCTTTTCAGCAATCAAATTAAACAAATAAAATACTAAAAAATCTTTCAGACGAAATGTTTGATTTTAACGTTCAATAAAAGTAATAAAAACGGAAAGAAAATATTTAGAAAATTCTCAAATATATTTCGTTTTATTTATTAATGTTTATTTTGTTAGTTTAAAGCTAAATTGTTACATAGAAAATTTGTTACTTCGATTCGATTCTCAAAGCCTGACTTACCTGCTTTTGGGCCAAATCTCATTTTTATGTAAATCATTTTTTGGTTTGGCAGAAAATGCAATTTTTGCCATAAACGTGAGCCACAAGCTGAACCCAGGGGGGGGGGGGGGGGTCAAGGGGTCAAACGCAAGCGGGGCGAACGAATGGACACGAAATACCTATGAAAATGTGCAACGCGGCATGCAATGAGTTTTATTAGCCCCCAATCGCAACCCTCCTTCCTCGCCTTCTACATCATGCACAACCCCCCTCATCTTCTTTCTGCACAGCTCTGCAATTTTGCACACATGAATTTGCCACGCAAAGCTTTCAAATTTCACGCCCTATTAGATCACATAGTCGCAGTGGCATGTGGCTGGGGGGTTGGCGGGGTTAATTACCCCCCCAAACCCCTATCCAACCCACCATCCGCCAGTCAGGTTCATTGACTGTGCAATTATCAGCGCCTGCTCCTGATTAGAGCCCAAAGGCTCTTTTTGGCCGCCAAATGCGCAATGTGATTCGATTGCAACTCGATTCATCGGCTTTCGACTGGAATGCAGCAAAGGGAAGCTTTCAGTCCGTTTCCGTTTCCGGCTGGCAAAGGCAAATATATCGAAAGGGAATTATGCGGATTAATGAGCGTGAAGGAGGAACGTATAGTTCCCCCTATAGTGGACCGATCCGTGCAATCCATAAAACCCTCTATGAATGCAGGCTATGAATGCTGATCGAGAATATATAACATATAAATACCTGGCAAAAGTATTGCACATATTTTAGATCCGGATCCTCTACGCTAAGATGGAGGCTTACTTCTCTAAAATGGAGTCCATCTCTTCAGCGCATACCCTGCATTCTGTGCTAAACTGAATCTCCTTTATTATGAATAGTCTGAATTGAGGCAATAAACAAAAATGTCTGCGAATGGGTAAAAAGGCGACGACGACGCGTGTTGTGAGCTTGTACAAGAAGTTCTTGTTGTTGTTGTTATTGTTGCTGTTGTTGTTGCTAATCTGGTTGTTAAACAAGCAAACAAAATGTGGCCAAGTGGCCGAAGCGCCCATAAAGTAAACGGCACAAGACATCAGCTCAGTCGCCAGACGATCAGCCAAGGGGGGGGAAGCGGGTAGGGTTGTGGGGCAGGGGTAGGGGCTTGGCAACCCAGTGAAGTGGAAGTGAGCTGCGTTTCGTTTTTCACAGGAGACGCGTCTCGGGAAAAAGGTTGAAATTAGCAGAACGCAGCTGAGACACCAAACGAAGACGGAGACGGAGCTGGAGGCGAAGAAGGGGATGCGGAGACGAAGAAGGCAGATCTTGTTTATTTTTGTTATTTTTATTTGTTGTTCCAAGGAAAATGCCTCCGCTGGCGGCTACTCCAACTATTGTTGTTGCTGTTGGGGCAGCCTGGTGCTATCGTCTTTGTGAAATCAGCCACGTGAGGCAAGCGGCGCACTGTGGGAAAATGCTGGAAAAGCTTTTAACAGTCTGCACATCAATTTGTTACTACTGATTGAATGATTGATTGATTGATTTTTAAATAATAAAACTGATTGAATGATTGACATACAAAGCCCTAGCAAAGTCTTAATGGTTAGGAAGCCTTTAACTCTGTTGATTAAATGATTGATGACGCTGATTGAATGATTGAAAGATAAATGCACAACGCACAGCCTAAGCCTTTATAGCTAGGATGACGCTGACGTTGATTGACTGAACGTAATAGAGGGGATGATAGTGCTGATTGAATGATTGACTGATTGATGAACATGTTAAGTCGAAGAATCAATAGCTGGGCAGGCGAATTTATTACATTATTTGTTTTTGATGTTGCTGTTTGATTGATGATCAACCTAATGACTAAGATGAAAGTGCACATGGAATGATTGACTGATTGATAAACATGTTAAATCGAAGAATCAATAGCTAGGCAGGCGAATTTGTTGCATTGTTTGTTTCGTCCCCGCTGTTTGATTGATTGACTGATTGATGATCAATGATTGATGAACAACATATAGCCCAAGCCCTAACATCTAGAAAGTTACATTTTTGTAGATTAGTTGCCTAGTGATTGACTGATTGACTTAACTATTGATCAACTTAATGACTACGATGACAGTGCTGATGAAATGATTGACTGACTGATGAACAGCGCTCAACGCAATCCATAACTGCGAAGAAGTTGAATTTGTTATAGAAGTTGCCTTTTTTATGAAAATGAAGGGTGAGAAATTGGTTAAAACATAATTTTCTAATACTTAATTATAAGCTAATTGGCCAATCGTGTTATTTTTTGACTTAATATGTTCTAGTTTTGCCCACTGTGCGATGGCATAAACATATGTAAATACAAATTTGATGCGAGGTTGTGGCAACAACAACAACAACAACAACAACAACAACAACAACAACTAACTGGCAACGCGCTCTAACTAGATGCAACTGACAATGTTTTTGCCGTCTTCTTCTTCTTCCTCTTGCTTGTTGTTGTCGGGTCGATGCTTATCCGAGCATGTAAGCAGCCTCTTAGCCGGCTCCACGGCACTAACAATACACCTCACAGTTTGGCAGTCACTGTTGAGCTCATTATGCGATTTATGGACCGGCAGCTGCAGCCAGACATTGCGTGAGTGTGTGTGTGTGTGTGTGTGTGTGTGTGCGTGTGTGTATACATGCCACGCCCCCCCTCCGCCCATACGGTCGGCAAGCACTCGTCAGCTTTCATAATGTCCAGTCCGATAGAGCAAAAGTAGCAGACGAACAGACAATAAATAACAATCAGGTAGCTGCCAGTGGGTGGAATGTGCGCCAAAGGGGGTGGAGGGGGGGGGGGGGGGTCTGTTTGTAGTGCCACAAAAGGCGCAGCTGCGGGCCAACGAAATGGAGCCAGCAAGTGGCAACGGGGGCCACCCGCGTCATCATGAGGAAACATTTTTGCAAAAGTTTATGATGTGTTTGGGATTTGGGAATGGGGCTTGGAATTGGGATTGGGATTGACCGCAGCGCAGCCAAGCCGAGAAGATTGCAGGCGGCACAGTGAAAGTCGAAATTGCAAATGCTACATCGGAGATGCACACAGTTAGAGATGGGCGTGTGTTGCACGTGCGAGTAGCATGGCACGACACGAGCACGAACAAAAATTACTCAAAAATAATATCACTACAAGTTTTATTTAATTTAATTGTAGTGCTTGTTTTTTATAGCATTTCTTCGTGTCAGACAGTTCGTGCTCGTGTCACGACACGCTCACAGCTCACAGCTAACAGCTCTAGTGTGATGGCTGTCAAACTGTAAGACATCCACAGCCCGGCTCACGGCTCACTAACCTCGTGATTTACTATATTAACGAGCCGGGCCGGGCCAGAAACTTAAGACAAACCCAAAGCTGGGCCAGACAAACCGGCTGCAAGTGGCAGTGAGTGACGGGCGGGGGGCGTGGCATGCGTTTTAACATAATGAAAATGTTTGGCAGCAACAGCAGCAGCAGCGACAGAAGAAGAAGCAGAAGAAAAACAACATTTGCATGAAAATGCATTTGCATTTTCTTTTTGCTCAACTGCAGGAAAGTGAAAATTGCATAAATAAAAGCCAAAGTATCAGTAAAAACAACAACAAAAATGATATCGAAGCAGGTCGCCGCCAAATGAGCGAAAGTGAACGCCAAAGGGGAGCGGGTGAAGTGGGGGAGGAGGGCTCAACTTGTGGGCAGACGAAAACAGAATCAAAAAATCTGAACAGGAAATGCTGCAGCATTTAGCAATTGGCAGCGCCTGTCAAACTGTGATGCATGACAAATGGCAAAAGTAAATTTGGGGAATAAACGAAACGTGAAGAGTGATTGCCAAAGGAGCACTACATATA